GGGAAAGCCGTGGTATGGTTACTCTGGGGAGCAACTGGATTAGCTGCACCAGTTAAGCTCCTCTCCTCTGGTGCCGGCAGAGAAAGTCTTGCACTAGAATATTAGTGGGGTCATTTAGTTTCACCATTGAAATTGCTATTTCCACATACGCAATATACAGCATGCTTACAAAACGAACTACCAGTCGAGTGTTTGTTTCCCCAAAGGGAAGACATAAGAAGATTTTGACACTAATCTAGTTGAAGAACCGAGTTCTTCAGGTCCCATGCTAAATATAATGGTAAAGATGCCAAGAGCTAGACCATGATTTGTTACTTTCGCAATATCACAAAACTCTCGATTAACTATTGATAAAAATTAACATACTTAGAATTAACTTGGAATTGCAGTTATTTTGGTCGCAGAATTACTAGCTTTAGTGACATTAATGCTTACCTGGCAAAAGCACTGGCAAAGTGTCTGCATTCCCCCCTCATTGGACATGCATTGCAATTTGGTCTACTCTTTGTGCAAAATACCTGCATAAGTTTATATGATTTAGGCATAGATTTGAATTTTGATTGTCAGGTCCCTGCAATTCTTTAAATAATCATATGATCCATTGTCAGTCAAGAGCGAGAGTACCTTTCCGAATGTAATCAACTGGTAGTGTAGTTCATACCTAGTAGAAATAACGATGCTAATTAGTATCACTGTTAATAATGGAGGAGGAAATATAGTGATCAAGACAGAGTTGACAGGCCTACAGTGTTCGTTGATCAAGTTTGCATAGTCTTGGCCAAAGATATTTTTGGATGGACTCAAGCACCGGGTACCTGAAAACAAGCATGGTTACGGTTTCTGAAAGCGAAGCCTCTATTAAGTTACAAGAAAAGCAAAAAACTTACAGTTCCAAGAGATGCAACTGAAGTGACTCAGGCAGAGGTTGGAGAGGGACCCACCCCAGCCTAACTGCAATCCTTCCAACATTTGTGTCAACCTTCACAGTATCAATAGCATTTTCAGTCGAACAATTCGGTTAGCCTCTCTTACTTTAAGTTGGTAACAGTTAAAAATATAGGCATTACCGGAAAAGCAAGGTTGTGAAGTGTTAAGAGTCGCACACATTCCACACTTTTCAAACCCAGTCCCCGTATGCTCAAGAGATAGTCCCTGAGACATGATTTTTGTTTAAGAAAAAGTCAGCTGTTGTCCTTGTGTTTTGCTTGTTGGAAACATGGTAAGACTAGTGTTGAAAATCAATAAAGTAGAATAGCACGCGCTTTACTTGGCTTTATCAGGAGGAACATCTCTTAACCATTCAAGATCAATGCTACCGTGATCCTCGACGACCCGGTCCAGGAACTCCTGCAATTAGATTGGTTAGAAAATTATTACTGATTCTCAAGGCTTGTATTTACATTTCATGGATTCTCAATTGAATTAAAGACGTACCTTAATTCGTTTTGCCAACATGTTGTTCATCCCCCTTTCCTTGATAGCCTCGGAAATCTGGCCGACACTGGCACATCTAATTGCTTCATAATCGAGGGAGTCCATTGCGTCTTTGCTTCTTTCTTTTGTCTTTCCTTTGCCCTCCACATCTTTTCTGAGATTGTCCCAGTGGCTTGTGGATTTCTTCCTATCATCGGGTTTCCCTTCTCTCTCTTGCAAAGAGCTGGAATTTGTTTCCTTGTATTCAATTGTCAAATGCTCTTGGTTACTGGAATTTGATTCAACCAAGCTAGCATTCCTATTGGGTGGATCAACCACCTCCTCAGCAGTTCTCGTTTTCGGTAGAAGGGATTCTGTCATATGCTGTGTTGTAACGGACTGTCTTGTAAGACATTCTTCATAAGAGTTAAGCAGATCTGTGAATGTGCTTTGTGACCGGGATGCTCTATTCATCTCATGTTGTTGAGTATCATATAGTTGATTTTCAAGATGCTTGCTTGGGGAAGTAAGCAACCCTAATCCCAGTGTTTCTCGAGGCATTGGCATTTCTTTTTGGCCCATGGATTGCAATGCAGCACTTCCTGCTTGTCTCATTCCACTGGGAAGCTCATTTTGGCTCTCTCCTTTTTCAATTCTAGGAGCAATGGACAACCAAGAATAACCAATCCCCTCGCCATTCATTCCAAAATCTTCTATATCTAAAACCTGCGGCTGCAGAATCGTATTCTGCTGGTAACCACTGGAAGGATTGGCCAGCACCTGCTTAGTCCAATTGGCGTGGTTGCTCGACTGATAGAAAGACAAAGAATCCTTCCAAGCGTCTATGCTCTCCGTTCTTGGTTCCTGCCGAACTATATTTGTTGTTTCTACTTGAAAATTATCAGATCCTTCACATAGGAACTGTCTCCCATAACTGTCGACTGCTGAACTATATTTGTTGTTTCTACTTGAAAATTATCAGATCCTTCACATAGGAACTGTCTCCCATTACCTCGACAATAAATACCATCTAATAAGGTTGGCTTCCCAATTTGAACTGATTTTGTTGAACCTCTGACAGAACTTAATTTACACCTATCAGTAGAAAACTCCAATTCCGAAGTGGAACCGGAACAGCATCCAACCCCTCTTCTTGACTGAAATATAGTAGGATCAAAAGAATCTTGCGATGATAATACTTCCTCTTCAAAATTTTGACTACTGTTCATTACAGAACTAGTTCTTTCTGCTCCAAAGTTTGAACTGTCCTTTCGCTGCTCTTTTGATGCATCGCCAACCCCAGAAGCTTGCATGCCATACGGATTTTCAATAACCTTTTCCTTCCATGCAGGGGTGTCATTTAAGTTCAGAATGCATCCTTCTGGATCTTCAACAATTACAGTGAGTCTATTCCTTTCATCTGCTTGGTTGCAGTTTGCTTTTGGAGGAAATCGAGCTGCTAGAGACATGAAAGCAGAACTGCATGGTAAAAATATCATAAATTAGTTCCTGCATATTAGAACTCTCCTTGATATATTCATCTTTTAAGTGTTAAGACAATGTATTCACCTTGAAAGATGATCTGTGACATTTTGGGTAAGGAAAACTCCAATGACCGAATCAACCACCGATCCTTTCCATGGTGAAAAACGCCTATCTCCTGCAAAAATTTACACAAATTGCAAACCTCTTAAGCCATACAGTATATGACTCCATTGGTCATCAGTAGCCACAAAATAGAGCGGAAAATCAGACGATTGTCCCTAAAGCATCAGATTTGTTCTTCAACAAATGCATTACGGAGAATCTTTTGCATGAAATGACGGTGGATTACTACTGAGAAATTTTCATTCCTGGTATAGTCTTATGACCAGTAATCTTCTGGATATTGTCAAGAATATGTTAATGAAAAGAGCTGGATAATCTTCTGATTTTCTTTCTGTCCCTTTAAATGTTTTCCTTATATCTGCGGTATTATAATTTTAAGATGAAGTTTCAACATGTAAGGTGAATAACAGCGGGGTCGAGAGAATTGTGTGACTCTACCTTGTACAAGATGCATTCGGGCAATGAACGAATCAGCCCTCCCTCGGAAAACTCTCCTCTCTTCTTCCCACCACTTCTCTTTTTCCTTATCCATTTCTTGATCACCTTCACTTTCCCCTTTTTCCATCAATAGATTCCAAATCCTAGTTGTTTCCTCATCAAGGTCCACTTTAGGCCTTGGCTTGCGCTTCTTGACTTCATATGGAATAACTGCACCGTCTCCCCGGTATAAAACAAGTGCATTTTGCTCCTTTTGGTCTCTGGTTTTGCTACCTAGGCTAAGATTCAGCAACCTGTATATTATGTCTTCAACAGGATCTTTATACAAAAGTTCCCCAGATGGTCCTACACAGAACATTGGCCATTGTTAGAATGGTACATTACAAGCTTGTTTGGATACAACTAGTAAAATTCCATCATTAAAAGATGGTCAACACATAGGTTACCTCTTGTTTTTCCTGAATCCTGTGAGGAATTCTTATGTTTCTCTTTAGCCTTGCGGCTCGATGAATATTTCTTGGCTTGAGCAGATTCTAAAGTCTGGACCTGTGATGCATGATCAAGCGGAGCTACTAATTGATTTCCTACTGCAGGGGCCTTCCTTGGGGGTGTTGGCGGAACGATAACGCATTTCTCATTATTTGCAGAACTTTGAATTGGAAAAGGTTTTTCTTTCAATGCAGTTTGGTTGGTGCTGACGTTTTTAATACCTTGTTGTGAGCCATCATTAGGAGCATCCTCAACTTCTGTTACCTCACGAGGCATGGCATGCATATTGGCAGGGAAGCCTTTCTGAATTTTCATTTTCTTTGAAGACTCTGATAATGCTGCACCTATATGCCTGTTGTGTCTCACTAAATCTTCTGATTGTGCTATCTGTTGGAGCAATGTTTTTTTCAAATCATGGTTCTGCATCTGCCCCATTGCATGATCGTACTCTCTCTTCGAGCCTCTGGTTTCAAAAGTTTCCGACAAAATTGATGGAGCTTGAGGAGGAATATTTTGAGGTGCTGCTTTCCTGCATATATCAAGAGGTTCTCCGTTGCATCTCTTTTGAAATTTCATGTAGCCACTTTCTTGATGGATATTTTGCTCTAGAGAACTATATTCAGTGGTACTACTCCTTTGACATGTACCAGCAGTCCTCGCACTCAAGCTTCTGGAAATAGTTTTAAGGATCTCCGCATGCAAATTTGTTGCAGGAGGTTGAGAACGAGACCCATCTGCTTGAGCCCCAGGTGAGGACATATAGGCAGCTGCCATTTTATTCAAGTGAGAAGTAATGCCACCCAGATTTCCAGAGTGCTGGTTCATCACAGGTAAGCCAGGCTGCTGATTTCTCATAGATGATCCAGGTTGCAGATTTCTCATCTGTCTTTCAGGTTGCTGGTTTTTCACCAGTAATCCAGGTTGCTGTCCTGATGGCAGGCCCTGCTGCTGCCTGCCTATTGATAATTCATATGGTCGGTTTGCTGTAGCTAAACAAGCTTGATGGTTTTGCTGATTCAAAATTCTAGTTTGCCCGTTGCCTGCAAGATATCCAGATTGCTGGTTTCCTACCAGATGCGCAGGTTGCTGGTTGCCCACCAACAAGTGAAGCTGCTGGTTGCCCATTAACAAGCGAGGTTGCTGGTTTTCCATGGGCAAGAAAGATCGCTGCATCCCGACTGCCGAACCAAGAGGTCGGTTTTCCATGGGGAAATTGGGTTGCTGGTTTCCAGTTGGAAACTGGGATTGCTGGGTTGCCACTGGAAACTGGTATTGCTGCCTTCCAATCAGAAATCTAGGTTGCTGTTTTCCGATCAATATTTCAGGTCGCTCATCTCTTGCCAGTAATCGAGCTGGCTGATTTCCACTTGGCAATTCAGGCTGCTTCTCTCCTGTAGGTAGCAGCGCATCCAGCTTCCTTCCCTTTGAAAAACCAGAGGGCTGGTTCCCCGTCGACACTCCAACAGGCTGGTCTTGAGCCAGTAATCCAACATTCTGGTTTATCTTTACTGAATCCATGCAACTGGCATTGGTCACACGAGTTGCAACTCTTGCCTCAGAAACTGAGTTCGAGCCACCTTCACAGTCACCTTGCCTCACATCCCCAGTTTTCTCCATGTCAAAATTCAAAACTCTTCTGCAACTCTTCGCTGGGATTTCATGGCTTGGGTTGCTTGTCTCTCTAACAGTGTCTGGTTCTTTAATTGCTGACTCTTTCAAGCTTGTCTTTTGAGCTTGCTTCCTTTTGCCGATTCCAGTCTCTTTAGGTTTAGCATTTGCTGGAGTTGCAGGTTTCCGCATCTTCTTCTGGGGTTTCTTTTCCTTTACTACTTTTGGCATGTACTTTTTCCTTTTCGGTGGTTTCAGTTGAGGGGTCTGGTTAAGATCAATCACAGGTTCATTTTGCCTTTGTTCATCAGTTGCTGTAGAATCAACAACAGTGAAATCTTCAATGTTCTGAATGTTTCTGTCAGAGTTTTGCGGTATGATACCTTGTTCAATGGCTGTAACTCTTTTTGCCAAGAACCCATTCTCTTGAACAAAATTGTCATCCATCAAAAATTTTGAACCATTGGTAGATCCATTCTCAATATTATTGGCTTGATTAGGAGTCAATGGCACCGATTGGAACGTAGCTGCACTGAATGATCCATTAGCTTCTCCTCTGGGTGGTGAATTCAGATTGTAAAGAGGACGATTAGATGCTGAATTTCCACCTGCACGAAAGCTTTGCTTTCTTAAGAAATGATATGCTTGCAGTCTGATTCATGCTAAGAAAGTTAGAGTTGTTTATCCATGCAGAACTAATAGAAACACTATGAGATCTAAATTTTCTTTCAGACTAAATACTGCAAAAATGGTATGCTTAAATGCATAAAAAAAGAGTCAAAGAATAGATGTGATTAACTCACATTGAAGTGTCTGGCATAAGTTGTCTCCACTACTCAGCAGCCTTGTAAATGAGAAAGGAATCTGATTGGAAAACAACAAATCATCCAACTCAAACTCACTACAACCAGCTTGAGAATTGCCAATCTGGGTGAAAGAACTGTTAACCACATCCGAGTCTTGTGTAGCATTTCCATTAACCATATGTACATTCTGTATGGAGTTTCCAACAATAGGTGCAAGAGGAAAAGCTACATCACCCCCAGCCAAGAGATTTTCCATCCCATTATTATTCCTGGTTTGTGCATATGATCCAGCAATGCAATTGATCAGCCTACTTCTCCTCGTCATGCCCGAATTAGCATCGTGATAATAACCCCCATTTCGGCTCATCCGTTGCTCAGTCTGATTTAGATCCTGTATAGCTCCATTGATGTACAAGGACCTCTCTCTATATCCACAAGCACCGACCGGAAATCCATTTGGCTCCAGGCATCTTACTCTTTCAATCTGGTTCATATCCCTCTCACCCGTGATCAGACTAGAGTTAATTACAGGTTTCGTGGGCGTAATTGGAATCCAAGAACCCATGAATTGGAACTCTTGTTGAACTTGCCTCTCCAGAGGAGCTTGAAACCCGCCATCTCGGGGATCAGCCCTCGAATTCATACCACACAGAATCTATGAACCCCCTCTTCAACCCTATCACTACTGATGCATCACTCAAATTCTTCAGAAAATTATTTGGCCTAATTGTTTCCTAAGTACCTAATTCCCAAAGAGACAAATTCTCCTTCTTGTTCTTATCTCATGGAGGGGGCAAAATTAACTACAAGCTGAGTAGAATCTGTGCCATAAAATGCAGTAAAGGATTTCCCATTCTCCCAGATATTCTCTCGTCGATGAAACGAGAAACGCATTAAATGCAAAACGGTGAAACATGAAAACAAAAAGGTTAGAAAAAAAAGGGGGAAAGTATCAGAATGTATATGGAAATGAAGACAAGGCAAATTTGGGGTTTTATTGCGAACAATTGAATTCAGGTGTTAATGGCAGATATTGTATGTAGAATCAGGAATTACGAATTGATAAAACAGAAACATCGAGAATATCTTCCCGCGATTCGGAGATGCAAGAGCTTAATACGACAGAACAAATTTCGGATAGAAATGGCGACAAAATTGTGGAGGAGGAAAAAAACAATGGAGCTTAAGCTCACCGATCTGAGACTGTGTGATCTCTCGCGTTCTCAGGCGAGTCAATGCCGGAGAAACTGAGTCAGCTCCGCCGTAAGAGAGAGACTGAAGAAGATGGAGAGGAGAGAGAGCCGGTACGGGCGTGAAAATATATAGAAGTGTATACCAATAATATCAATATTATTATTTAAAACATTATAAATATGGAAATTAATTTAAAGTAAGGTAATAAAGAACGTACACATGACACTTTTTCATACAAATGCCTTCGGACACTCCGGCTTTTACTTTCGCCATTTTTAAGCTGATGGCAAAATTGAAAATGTTATTCGTATCAAGTTCTAAAATTCAAGCAACAATGATATATCTAATATCTAAATTTTATATCTCATCGTTTATATAGATTTAAAATAATTACTAGATGAAAAATATATATTATGAATTAAACCGTGTAGATTGGAAATGCTAAGATTTAAATTCTATACATCGTAATTTATGTGAATTAAAGTTAAGTATTGTATGAAATTCATAAAAGAAAACCGCGTGTATTGATATTACAGTATTTCCAATAAAAATATCAATTATTTCAGTAAACTATAGTATTAAGAGGCAGACATGTTGTATTTTATAATTTATATATATATATATATATATATATATATATATATATGTTCCTATACTTTGGTAATGGTGTTTATGCTTTTTACAGAAACCTACCGAATTGGAGTTTCAAAACAACACTAAATGGTGAACAAGTAACGTGACCATTACTTGTTTTAACTACGTAAATATTTATAATATAGTGATATGCAAAAAGGTATCTGAATCAGATGTTATATATAAAATATTTAAATTTTTAATGAGAAATGTTAAAATTTGGTTAGAATTAAAAATAAAGTAAGTTTTAAATTAAAATATGACACTAAATCTGAGACGTAAAAAGGAAAATGGTTATTCTGCAAATACCATTCTTAGAAAGGATAGAACACATTATGTAATATTTATCACTAAATTTGAAATATACGGCGAAATTTATTGTAATAAACTAAATTAATTTGATAGATAGAAACCAAAGATACCAGCAGTAATTATTTGGTTTTTAATATGTAAAATTGACACTACATAATTATATTCAAATCATATTTAAGTTAATTTATAAAATAATCAAAGAATTAAATCCAAAAATATTAAGAATAAATAAATTTAAATATGATATTCTATTGAACAAAAAACCTAGACCTAAAAATACCCGCATTCAAACTATAACCCTTCTCACCAACTAATATTTTAATTTCGGTTTTTGTATTTTTTGAATGTGTAAATTACATGATAATTATATGCATGCAGGTAACGTGTGTTTCTTGGGTGGAGGGTAAAACCGTCATTTACACCGTGGCGACCTTTTTTGTATGAAGCCGAAGCACGTGATGCTCTGTACTTCTGTAGTTTATCAATATGGTATCAATTCAATGTCTATTGATTATTTAAAATTATTCTAATTTTTTTTAAGATTTTTTACATTATATAATCACCATTTAATCTAAAATTAATTATCATTAATTTCAGATCATCTATCTGCGTTCAAAAATAGTGAAAATAAAATTTTAAAGCAGAAGTTTTTTTAAGATAATCTAAACATTAAATTAATAAATTATATTTAGAAGTCCATTGATAATACATTTAGGGTTTCCAAATATTGTGTAGCTAAATAGCACGTATATTATTTTACATTAATCTATTCCCATATTAGAAAAGAGATACGTCTTATTAAAAGATTTTGAAGTCCGAATTCATAGTACACGTTTAATTTATCTGTAATATTTTGGTATGAAATATTATCCGGTTTTCATTTACAAGATAACATATTAAAGAGGGAGGAAACACATGTATAATTAATATCAAATGAATAATTATCTTTTTTCAGTGAAAACAGTGTTAATAAAATTCGAGTCGATGAAAAAATAGAATACACATGATTTCAAATTTTGAAGAAAAAAAATAATACAAGTAAAATCTAATAAAATCTGACCTTTCTATTATACCAAGAAAAAGTTTAGGTCAAAAGCCTAAACATAACATTAATATTGTAAATATTTTTATGAATATCGAGTGTGTGTATAATATATATACACATAAATATAATTATTTAAATTGAAGCACATATAGATAGGTAAAAAAATACTCGTTAAGTGTCTACATCGTAGGTTCATGTCAAATTTCGCACGTTACATGTCTTTGATTACGTGGTTAGTTTCTGGGAAAATATTATTGACAAAGACTTTTAGTTTTAGCTCATCTTTATAAAAAAAAAGTTAAAACTATTTTAAAAAATTATGACCTTTTAGCTTATAGAATATATTCGAGTGCATTATACATAGAATATCTTTTGACTCATATTTTTTTTTTATAGAATACACATTTTCATTTTTGATTTAATCCCATCCACTGCAATCCTAACATATATTTCTTTTTTTCTTCAATTATACATACAATCCATTAAATTCGTGATGAATTTAGCTAACATGAGACGGATTTATTTTATTTACATATAAAATAAGTTTTATATATATATATATATACACACGCGTGTGTAATGTATATTGGTGTGTTGCTTTCAAATTAGGGTGTCATTCGGACCGTATTCGGTTCGAAGATTTCGGACTCGAAGTCGGACTGATCCGATTTTTTTAGACTCGAAGTCCGACCTTATAGATTTCAAGTTCAGATTTGGACCGAATCGGTCACTTCAACTTATAATTATAAATTTAATATTTTTTTATTAGTTTTTGAAAAAATATTGGATTGTTGGGTTGATTCGAAACCCGATTTGAATACAATTTGAAAGATCGGAAATTTATAGACCAATATATTTAAGTTTCAAATCCGATATTTTCGAAATGGATCCGAGTTTCTGATTTCGGGCCAAAATTGACAGTCTATTTCAAATCAATTGAATAAAACCCATATTTTTCAATTGGCCCTCTCCTTATAGACCCAATCTCTAACTCATGAGTCATGACTCCGTGTCTTATGTATTGTCTCTTTAAAGGTATTAATGCGGCTGCCTTCGTACGTACATACATACATACATACATACATACATACATACATACATACATACATACATACATACATACATACATACATACATACATACATACATACATACATACATACATACATACATACATACATACATACATACATACATACATACATACATACATACATACATACATACATACATACATACATACATACATACATACATACATACATACATACATACATACATACATACATACATACATACATACATACATGCATACATACATGCATACATGCATACATACATGCATACATACATACACACACAGGGCATTGGTTTGTATGTGTATTGAAATGCTCTTAACAAAAACCTATCATTTTCTTTTATAATTGAATAAATAAAAAATATCATTTTAAAATGATGTAAATGAATAGTTAGAAGTCTTATAGATACATGTGTTGTTTATAGTCACGTTAGGGAATCCGTATTATAATTAGACTTTCATATCCACATTATCATATGATTATATAGTTCTAGAACGTTTCAACCGAATAATATTTCTCATATATTTGTTTTTTAATTACAACCAAGATTTACTAAGCCTGCTATAATCAAATTTACTAATGTTAGGTCTGTTAATTTAAATTTTCAATTAATATGAAAAATATTTTTATGTTGTTTTAACGGTGATTCTGAACAAGTAAATTAAGAGATTTTAATTAAGAGGATAATCTTATTTATTGCGTTGACATTAACTTGAAGTATTGGCCGACGGTGTGAGGCGTATTAAATCTTTTTAAATTTTAAATGATATTTATATATAATTACTCTATTGTCGCTATAATAATAATAATAATTTTCTTTAGAACTTAAAATACCTGAATTTTCAGAATGAAAACTTGTAACTAACTTTATTTTTAATGGAGTAAACAATTGAACGAAATAATCAACCCAAATATTTTTGGTCAAAAAGGAGCATAATGAAAAGATGTGGGGTGGGTTTTAATAATACTAAAAACTTGTGGGGTCCTCGACATTATTGGGACCGAACCGAATTCAACCCGACCCGATGGTTAAAATTGTAAAAACGACAAGTTTCCGCGTGCTTACCATTAATGATTGTGACGGATCTCCTCCTTTCTCAAAGTTTTACACTTTGGTCCCTATATTGTTTTAAATTTATATATTCGTACTCTTCTTCGTCACGGGGAAAATAAATTAGATCCAATCGTATTTTCCGGTTGCCCCCATATATTTCTCGTTGACATCTTACGCCTCGATATTTAAATTATGATCAAAATAGACCCCCAAAGATGACTCCGTCAATGTGATTTCTATTCACAGTAAACAATATTTTTTTATGCATTTCTTTCCACATCAATATATAATGTAGTTATGCAGATATTTTTATTGAATTTAATTTTATGATTTAATACGAATATAAATTGATATTTATAAAATTTTCTGTTTTTATCTCAATGATTATAAAATTTCGCAGCGCATTATGTTTTGGATATGATACGGTGATGCAATTATAGAAAATATATTCTAAAATATTATGGAAATGACATAGAATTGAAGTATTGTGCGATCGACCAAATTTTATTTAATAGGAAATGACAAAAAAAAAAATGGGAAGTGTGAGCTGACCAAACAGCTTTTTCACTATTTTGTTGAGTTACAAACGTGTGAATACAATACTTTCGTATCTTTTTGACCATTCCAAAATTACAAATGGAATGAAATCACTATTTATTTTTTAACACCTTTTACACATATAATTTCTATATATAATTTTTATTATCGTGTTAATATATTTAGTACTAAGTAAATTATATAATAGAATTTAAATGATATGGTTGCTCAATATTATGCTAAAGATAATTTTGTAATATCTCATAATATATTTTTCTAAATTGAGAAGCACAGATTATAAGGTATCTTTCCTTCAAAGATATAAAATTTTAATGATCGTATTAGAGTTTATCACGTGCATTTGAGGTAAGTTTTTATTATGTAATTCCACATATTCTAAAGGCGAAAATTACCATCTTTTGGTTCCGGACAAAAAGGTGGCGCCGGCCGGCTCTCCATACTTTAACAGGTTGTTGGTGGACTATCACCAATATTTTGGGCAACAATTAAAAATTTAGTAAAATAAGAGGACCGTATAACAAAAATTGAAATAGGAAAGTTAGGACTCTTTTATGAACTTTTAACTTCACTCGTTCTCTCCTTCTCCTCTCCTCTCTCTCTCTCTCTCTCTCCAAAGTTTTATGCTTTTCTGTCTCCATGTGGCTCTAGTCTCCATTTGCATCTTCCTCGCTGCTCTCTCTCTCTCTAAATTTCTTTCGCTTTTTCAGATTTTTCTCTGATTCATATATTCCATCGAATGATCGGTAAGTTCCCTCTTTTTTTCACCAACTGTTTCTGTGTTATGCGCTTTCTGTGTAGGGGTTTCAACGATTTTGTCTGTTTCTGCTCTTGTTCTGTTCCTGGGTATGCCGAAAATTCTGTTTGGAATCATGGGTGTTAAGTGATTTGTGTCGGGCTTCTTCTAATCGAGTGCCCATAACTTCGAGTTGTGAAGCTGTGTTGCATTATGAGCTCGAGATCTTGCTCGGGCCCTGCTTGGTAACTTGTGTTCTGCAGCTAGATTACCCCCAATCCATGTAAATTCCAGTTCTTCTTGCTTTTTTTCCTCGTGATATACTCCGATATCTGGACGTTTCTTTCTTCTTCTTTCCTGTTGCGGATCTTCTGTAAATTTCTCAATTTCCTGGTTGTTTTAGTGAATCTGTCATGTTTTTCATGTCGGTTGTGTACCCAATTTGATTTCAGTTCAAGACCCTTGATGTAAATGTGGGTGTATCCAATTTTTTTCCGTTGTCTGGATTGTTTCAGGGCTCCTTATTGTTCGATTTAGCGAATTGCTTGAGTTGATGATGGCATAGTGTGATTGTTATGGTAATTGTGTTGGTTTCATTGTTTTGTTTCCTGCTATTCAGAGCTCCTTGCCTGAGAAGATGGTGGCTGAATCATGGTTCCGTAATCTGTGGAGACTCCCGAAAAAGCATGAAGGCAGTTCGGATAAGGCGGTGATTGGAATGTTGGCTTTCGAGGTTGCAAGCTTGATGTCGAAACTGGTTCATCTATGGCAGTCTCTAAGCGAAAAGAATATCGCAAGGCTTAGAGAGGAGATTACCAATTCCGTGGGGATAAAGAAGCTTGTCTCCGAAGACGATAATTTCATAGTAAGTTTAGTATGTGCGGAGTTGATGGAGAATATGGAGAATGTGGCGAGAGCTGTGGCAAGGCTCGCGAGGAAATGCGAGCACCCGAGTCTGAAGAGCTTTGAGAATTGCTTCAGTGACATGATCAAGAAAGGTGCTGACCCATATGGATGGCAGTTTGGGTGGAAGAAAATGGACAGGAAGGTGAAGAAACTTGAACATTTTATCTCGGTTAATGCAAGTCTGTACCAGGAGACGGAAATTCTGGCGGATCTTGAACAAACTTATAAGAGAATGATGTGTAGTGAGGCTGCATCCGAGAATTTACTGGAGTACCAGAAAAAAGTCTCTTGGAAACGACAGGAAGTGAAGAATTTGCGGGAGGTGTCTCTATGGAACCGGACTTATGATTACACTGTGCTTCTCTTGGCTAGATCGAGTTTCACGATATTTAGTAGGATTAAACATGTTTTTGGCATTCATTACGCAACAGAGGCAAGCGAGTTAAGCTCGGTGGATTCTGATTTCATTGGTCGTAGTCATTCGGTTTCTACACTTTCTCAAGCTTTGCCACATCAATCCGAGACCAGCAGTCTTCCCAGATTTGCTTCTGGTCCCCTTGGGAGATATACAACTCCAACATCTGGTCCACTTACTGCAAGATCCACAAAGATGAGCGATTTTCTTTCGGGTCCTCTGAGCACCTCTCCTCCTAAATCAGGTCCCCTTGCTCCAGAAAAGAACAAACGTTTCAAGTTCTACTCGGGTCCACTCGGAAAGCTCACTGCAAAATCCGGCCCGATCCTCGGTATGGGAAAAAACGGCAAGAAAATGGGGCAGACCCCTGAAATGTCGCCCATCTCTTCGGGGAAAAAACACCACTCAAGAACCAACCGGTTGACTCAAGTGGGACCGTTTAAAGGCTGCATGGTTTCTCAAGACGGGATTACTCCTCTCAGCATTCGGATCCAGAATGGGGCTAGAAATAGTAGTGCAGAACGACGTCATCACCATCTCCCCGAAGGAAACTCTGATTTTGCTCACATGGATAACTCGGCATTTCAGTCACGACCAAAGCTGTTAGATGCTCCTCCCGATACCCTGGGTGCTGCCTGCCTGGCATTACACTACGCAAACGTCATTATCGTGATAGAGAGATTTGTGGCATCACCTCACTTGATAGGTGATGATGCAAGAGATGACCTTTACAACATGTTACCGGCAAGCTTGCGAGCTTCTCTGAGGGAAAAGCTAAAGCCATACTCAAAGAGCTTGACCTCTTTGACGGTTTACGATCCCATGCTAGCGAAAGAATGGACAGATGCAATGTTGGGAATCCTGGAATGGCTCGCGCCATTGGCCCACAGTATGATAAAGTGGCAATCCGAGAGGAGTTACGAGCATCAGAGCTTGGTGTCCAGGACAAACATAGTTTTGGTGCAGACCCTTTACTTTGCAAACCAGCAGAAGACAGAAGCCACCATTACCGAGCTTCTTGTCGGCCTGAACTATGTCTGGAGATACGGTCGGGAGCTTAATGCCAAGGTTCTGCAAGAGTGTACCAGCAGTAGAACCATTGGGAAATGTCTGGAAACTGAAAGCAAGTGAATCCTCTCCATCTCCATGGATATATACCTCGAGAAACTGGCGATGAACCATCGGGGACCAAACCTCAGGACATTGCTTCGGACCAGCCCTCACAAGCCGGAGGATGGAAAGTAGTTTAAGTACTTCTGGTAAGGATACATTATCCGACATGGATGAGAGGTATAAGCAAGCTATTCCATCTTTTTCCTTTGTCTGTCATGGTCTTGGATTGGAAATTCTGACGCTTCCTAGGATCAAGATGATGAGTCAGTGTATATTCTCTATGAATTTTTGTGGCGAAGTATACTGCTTATATACATAAAATCATCATTTGGGTTGAGTTTGATTCTGTGAATGCCTTGTGGCTACAGAGAAGAATCGGAGGAAATGCCGATTTGGATTTGTTTTGGCCTTTTGTACCCCAAACTTCAACAATGTCTGATGCTTGGTGAAAGTTCTCCGATTTTGGACTTTTTATTTCAATTTGAGAAGTTCGGGTAAAAAGTGCAAGAGATTCAAAGTTGCGGGCTTTTCTAGTTGGGGATATGGAAATCAAATTAAAACCCCTAAACTTTTAAAGTTTATTATGAAACCCAATGTTTTAGTTTGAACTATTTTAAGCCCAGTTCTATTTAACATTTGAAATAAACGAATACAGAAAGACATTTCTATATTGTATCGAATTTCTTTGAATGGATAACGCAATAGAAACATTTGTTAGTTTGATATGATTGATGGTTAAAAATAATTCAAATAAAAAGATATGATTAAATTTTGAGAGTTGTTTTGATTTTAGTATAAAGGTTACAATTTGATATGAGCTCAAAAGATAAGGTTTAATCTTTAATTATTGTCTCTTTTAATAGAAATCATCAGAATTATTTTTTTTCTTTCTGAAATTTAATAAAATATTCTATCGTTTTATCTTAATATATTGATATAACTCTTCACACATGAATATAAAAATTAGAAAATTTGAAGATTCCTATCCAGATTTTTAATTTTTTAGTAATGTTAGATATTAATTATGATTCCAATATTTTTTGGATTAAAATAGGAACTAAATGTTAATAATCTAAAATAAACAAAATTCATCCTTTTTTTGCTTTTCTTCCTATTAATTTTGTTTTCGTGGACTTCTCGTCTTTAAAATCAAATTTTAGTAGTTTAGGAAAGAAAGAGGCCGTACAGAAACTGCGTCGTATTCCGTGTGTCGTGTGGCGAAAAGCCAGCGTAAACAAATCCGTTGAGCGGCAGGGGAAGGAGCCTCTCTCTCTCTCTCTCTCTCTCCGCCGTGCTATGACGGCGCCGAGGCCACCGTCCGGTCGATCACGGTCGCTCCAAGATTCGTCGGAGTCGGAGAAGATGGAGGGTACCGGTAGCTGGGACGCGCTTGAGTGGACCAAAATCGAGGTATTGCTTCTGAATTCTCCGAATTCTAGGGTTTTCTCCGTCTTCCCCCTCTGTGAGTTAATGTATATATGAACTTGAAATTACACGTATTTTTGGTATAATTGGTCGAGGATTTAATGCGTTCTTGTTCTCTATTGATGGGGGCCAGCCGGTTTCGCGGTCGGTTTCTTTTGGGAATTTGGATTGCTTGCTTGAAGAAGAGAGGGTAATCGTCGAGGTAAGTCTTCTTTGTAATGAAATTTATTGTTTTTAATTCGATTTCTTTTTACTCCCTGTTGTGGTAATGGTTGCCTTGGTACCAATATTTTAAAAAGAATTTAGGTGGACATGGATGTTTTGCGCCGAGTTTCTCCGGATTGATTTGATTTAGGAATTTGGTTTCAGGGTTACGGAGTTGTCCTCATGAACACGGATGAGGCTGGGACCCTTTTGGTGACCAATTTTCGTATTCTGTTCTTGGTATGATTTGGTCTTTCTTCTATTTCTTCTTGGTGCGTGTGACAAGTCATTACAATATTTACCTGGATGCATCACACGTAAAGATTGCTTCTGACTTCATTTTGATCCACTCTGCTAGTCAGTGTAATGGTTATGCATTGAAGAATGTGAAGGAACCCTGATACTTACAATCAATGAATTCTTTGTTTTTCTTCGTAAAGAGTGAAGGAACCAGAAAGATTATTCCACTCGGTACAATTCCGTTGGCAACTATCGAGAAGTTTAGCAAAATGGTCAGTTGTTATATCTCTGGGGATAAGTTATGTGATAAAATTGATGAGTTAGTATCCGGAGTTTGATGCGATTATTTGTGTGTATCTTCTGTTTCATACTTAGGTGCAGAAAATCCAATCGAATACTCGTCAATCTGAGAAGAATCTGCCAAGACGTCTTTTACAGGTCACTGGTATGTTCTGCTTATTCTTTTCTAGAGCTTATTTTGAGCAACTATTGTTAGTTTGCAAGGCTAGCTGAAAGTTTTCTAGAACGTTTTATCATGTCCGAGGCTTTCTTATATCTGTTGGGAGTTCTATTCCCATGCTAGAACTTGTTCGAAAGGAATATGGTATATTGAGGTAGCAGATGGTCTAAAATGGATGGGTTTGCATCATCTGTAATCCTGTACTTTGGGTTCTTCAATTTTTAGGGTTGCAACTTCTGTTTACCCAGTGAATTACGAAGACCTGTTCTCAGTTCTTTGTTTTCAGTGACCATGTATTACCAGTCTTGCTTCCGTCTACTGAGCGTACAATTTCTTTCATTCTTGGTGTAGACACTGCTTGTACCATTTCTGCTACTTAGTCATCTTCTTTCTAGACCTGTTGTACATCATATCTTGGATATGTGATAGTATTTGAAAAAATGATCATTTTTTATGTGTATCTTATGCTTGGACCAGCCACATTCACCTTCTTACCTCGTATCTTAACTAAAATGTGTTAAATTTGACCAAAATAAAAGAAGATGGCAGACAAGGCAATGCTATCGTTAATGCTTGTGGCATGAAGTACCTGTGCACACATATTTTTGGTGAATGAATGATACCTTGTTTCGTTTTGGTTTCTGTTTTCTGTTCTTATTTCCTGCCAATACTTGTGTTTGTCAGTGGACATTACCTGGCAGATGTTGGTTGAAGGCTTCTTTGTCGATGATTTTATAACTTCTGTTGAAATTTCAAAAGGCATAAATGTTGTAAACCACTTGGATTTTGTAGGCAAAGATATGAGAATAATTGTCTATGGTTTTCGTCCACGAACCAAGCAGGTGAAATTCTCCTTCCTCCTATGCTGCTCATTGCAACTCTTTATTGGTCTCTATATGATTTTATGAACAAACTTTTGCAGAGACGTGCGGTGTTTGATGCATTATTGAGGTGTAGCAAGCCAGTGAGAATCTGGGATCTTTATACTTTTGCATGCGGGCCTTCCAAATTCTGTAACACGGATCCAAAGGAAAGATTACTGAATGAATATTTCCGTCTTCTCGGAAGAAGTTCTTTACGAGCGTCAGTGGATATGATTGAAGATGGATCATTCACATTGTCCAATGAGATGTGGCGGATAACTGGTTTAAACTCCAGTTATAACTTGTGTCAAACTTATCCGTTTGCTTTGATGGTTCCAAAATCCATAAGGTAGGCCACTGAGATCCTTATAGAGGAACAAAAGAATTCTACCAATGCCCCCTCTAGAGTTGTTAACAATACATCTGTGTTCAACTGTAGTGAGAGCTTCACTCGTATATTCCCAATTAACAGGAAAAACTCCGCTTCATTATAACCTTGTTTTATCATTTGGTTCGTCTCTGTTATAGATGCAATACAACCACTTTTAGCTGTTAGTCATGAAAAGCAAGTTAACACATTTCTGCTGGTGCCAGTGATGAAGAGCTACTCCAGGCATCTACTTTTCGGGCAAGATGCCGTTTACCTGTGATTACGTGGTGTCAGCCAGGTAGAATCCCGGGTTCTGTTTGCTTTTGTTTCAATTTTGTTGGTGTAGCTTCCGGATTGACATGCTGTTTTCTGGTCTTGATGATAGGAGGTGGAGCTGTGCTTGCACGCTCATCCCAACCTTTAGTTGGTCTTATGATGAACATGAGGAGGTATAGAAGTTAAAATATTATGTCTGGACATGAGGACGATAATTTACTTTCAGTTTTTATCTCCAAGTCCTTGAGACTGTACATTGTGAACTTTTCTGTTCCTGCTCCTGCTTCCTGAATTGGTCATTCTTTATTTATTTTGTCCACTTTTCCGCAGCAACTATGATGAGAAGCTTGCTGCTTCATTCTGCACTCAGCTAGCTGCTTGTGATGGAACACGAAGGTGAGTTTGTGAGGTTTATATATATATATGAACAAGCATTGTTGTAACATCTTATATTAGTATCATGGGACATGGATTAGTGGTACTGTGCATGCATGAAGGATATAATACATGAAGATAAGCTTGGCAACACATCAAATAGTGATGGTTCCAAATCTTCGTATTAGGGTTTCTTTGTTGATTCTCATAATGCCCTTAAGCTTGTCATGTCAAAAAAATTTCTTATTCCAAATGTTTTTTTATTATATTAAGATATCAATCATATATTTAATTATAAGAGAAATTAAATTTAGTTTATATGAACTGAGTTCTCCATTTGATTGAACATTAACCATCTGGATTTGAGAACTAATTTGTCATCTTTTAGTTCTACATGGTTGGTGGTTGCATTTCTTGCATAATTATGTTGTCAATATTTATGTAGAATGCAAGTAAAAAGCATATTAATCATGAATGCTCTTCACAACTAGAAATTACAATTCTTCTTGATATCGCTGAACTTTATATTATTCTCTGAGATCTGATACATCAAAAGGCCTCTGTTTGGTTAGAACTGAAATTCACTTTCAATTACTGGTTACATCCAATACGGTTATTTTTTTCTTTGGGTGAATTAAGAAAAGATGCACTGAACTGATCTTGTTTTTACATTGTAGGAAGCTTTATATAGCAGATGCGAGACCTAGGAAAAATGCTTTAGCAAATGGAGCAATGGGAGGTGGCTCAGAATCTTCATCAAATTATTTTCAATCCGAAGTCTGTAACTGATCTATGTCGTTTTGATGCTGAAAGCCTTGCTCTTGGGAGATTGTTTGGTTTTTATTATGGTTTTCTTTCTTCAGATTGTTTTCTTTGGAATAGATAACATACATGGTATGAGAGAGAGCTTCTGTCGTCTTAGGGATTATGTAGATATGCATGGCACAACATCATCTGATGGGATGTCATCATTCTTGGTAAGCACCGAATACCTAGGAACTTTCTGTAGTTGTAATTTTTGTTGATATCTGTAAGCAGTTTAACTACTTTTTGTTCCCCCACATTGTTTTTCTAACTATCATTTAACCCTCAGGTATTTCAGACGTGAAATTGGATGTGTGTTGTTGAGTGAAGTTTTGAGATATGGACATAATTTCACATAACTATTATGTGAAAGTTCGCTACATTCACCGCTATTGCCGTGTCATAATTTTTTTTTTTTGGTTGATGGAGTTCTTAATGCAATCATTAGACTCTATCTTCTTTGATAGATTTCATTATAGTGATATACCATGATCTGTCATATGTCTCTTCCGTTTCTACTGATGCTGTATCTGTTTATGTGGGACTGGAATTTGCAGAGACATGGTGGTTGGTCATGGAGCGGAGGTAATCTCAGCAGTATGTCTGCATCAGTATCCACACTCGGAGATAGTGGTTGGTTGATACATGTCCAGAGCGTCTTAGCTGGTGCAGCATGGATTGCTGCACGTGTTGCTATGGAGTCTGCATCTGTTCTTGTGCACTGCAGGTTAGTTATCTTGAGGTCATATAATTATAATCTCACCAACTGTTTTGCTTGGATATAAGTTGTGATGCTTGTGATAAGATGAGATGCATTTTCTTGAGGTGTAGACTTAATATATATAGATTGCATAAAATGATTGAGAAAGACAGTTTGGTGTTCTTAGTAGATTTTTTTTTTTTGTGCCATGATGTATTTATGCAGTGATGGATGGGACAGAACAACTCAGCTGGTTGCTCTTGCATGCTTATTGCTTGATCCATACTACAGGACATTTGCTGGGTTTCAGGTATTCCCTAGGCTATGGTTTCAATACTTTTTTTAGTGCCTTTTTTTCCCATCTCTGTGCGTGAGAAGTTTAGTCAAGTGGTTTTCAAGCTTTATAGGATTTTTTTATGTCCGTCGGATGAGAATGCTACTGTATTGTATTATCTTTGCAACTAATTCCCCTGCATCAGAATCTTTATGAGGTTTTTGCTTTACCGCATCATTGTCTTATGTTGCCATTCCTATTGTTCTGGCTTTACACACCAGGCTCTTGTCGAGAAGGATTGGCTAGCTTTTGGGCACCCATTCTCGGATCGCGTTGGAATGCCTAACATATCTGGATCTGGTACCGAATTACCAAGACAGTCTTCTTCTGTTGCAAGCTATCCTTCATCTCCAGTGCGACAGTCTACAACATCAATGGCCTCTCAATCTTCTAGCTCTTCGCATGGGCAGAACAACTATTCTCCTATATTTTTACAGGTGAGCTGCTATTGCTTGGAATTACAATAATCTCTTTGATGTGGTTAGATCTTCTTTGGCGGCTGAACCTGAATAGGATGTTCATGCCTGTGTTTGCAGTGGGTTGATTGTGTTGCACAGCTATTGCGGATGTATCCTTCTGCTTTTGAGTTTTCTTCGGTATGTATTAAGGTTGATCTATGTCTAATAACCTCATGTTGAACTCCATCCTGTCAAAGTGCTCATTGCCTTTCAATGTGGTGTTTCAGACTTTCTTGGTAGATTTCATGGACTGTGTACTTTCATGTCGTTTTGGAAACTTTCTGTGCAACAGGTAAGTCTTCTTTTAGTTTCCCTCTTGGTTCACATTGGGATGAAATTTATTTCTAAAAGCTGATAGTCCTTATGTAGGATTATAGATATAATCTATTCCTAGTTTACTGTATTTTGTGTGTGAAATTGAGCGACTTGTGTTTTGGAGCACAGACTTACTTTGGTATATATCTCACCCTACTTTATATGGTGAACATTCCAGTGAAAAGGAGAGACAGCTATGCGGGATTTCTGAATCGTGTGGATGCCTGTGGGCATACTTGGCTGATCTACGTTCGTCCGGTGCAATCTCTCATGTCCACAGTAACCCATTTTACGATCCTTTGAGATTTGATGGCCCCTTACTACCTCCCGCAGCAGCTCTAGCCCCGACCATATGGCCTCAGTTCCACCTTCGATGGGCCTGCCCCTTGGAAGCCAGTGCTGCGGAAATTGAGGTCCAGTGCAGAGCCATGGCAGCGAAGTACTCCGAGACACAGAAGGTAACTCACCCTTCTTCCCTTCCTGGGTGAGAAGCCTGGTCCGTTTCTTCCTTCCGTTCCGTGGGCATGTATAAAAGTATCCACATAGCTCTCGTCTATAAAGGACCAACCCAGTTCGTATCCCCATCTAGTGGGGTGTTGGGGAAGGGAATATACTAGATCACCTTACCCCTACATTTTAATGTAGAGAGGTGGATTCGAACCCGCACCCCACAGTAAATGGTTTTACCGCTGAGCCAAGTCGGCCCTTCAGCTCTCGTCTATATGAGAGAAAATTATTTCCAAGCGTTAAAGTGTAGGCAACTCGAATGTTTCCTTCAGTTTCCCCTACCATGTTATGAAATTTACATTTCAGTGTATTATAATTAACCAAATAAACTGGTTGAAACAGGAGAACGAAGCAGCGGAAAGGAAGATTGAGGAGATGTCATTTGCAATGGAGTCAATGGGTGCAGAATTGATGAGAGAGAGACAGATGAGCCGCTCGGCTAGAGAATCGGCAAACAGAGCCACCAAGGAGTGTGCAGCGGTAAAGCGAGCCGTACAGTCGCTGGGCTGCAAGGTTAACTTCACCTCAAAGACAGGGGATTGCACGGTTGACATCGAGTGCAACCCACCGAAATTCTCTCACACTCCTCCCCCTCCTCCGATGAAAAGACCGTCCGAAAACCAACGGGATGAGGACGAGTCAGATGGCTCGGTATCCATCACAGTAATGCCGGAAGGGAACAGTCAGGGCAGGAACCCGATAGGCCGAGTATGCGAAGCTTTGTGTCCATTGCGTACACGGGATGGAGGATGCAGGTGGCCACACGCGGGTTGTGCTCAGCTGGGAAGCCAGTTTGTCGGGTTAAAAGCCAACTTCGACGCCTTTGATAGGCTCTCCATCTACGACAGTTACTTCCCACCCGAATGAAAAGAGTCTTTCATTTTTTGACGTAATCAATAAGCAAGCAGGGACATGACATGATCAGAAAGGGAAGAGAATTCATCAGAATAATAAGAAACCGCCCGAAACACAGCGATAGCGAAAGCGTTAGCGTTTTGGAATGGGTCTCGGGATCTTCGGATTTGTACAGAAAAGTTATAGAGGACATGGCATAGAGAGAGGCTCAAAGGGGAATTGTCTCTGTCACCAGAAGGCAGAGGCGGTGACTCTCTGTCTGAAGCAATAAAGCTACTGCTTAGTCTCTGGTAAAGCTTTTTAACTCCTTTGTTAGTCGAATTCCGATTCTTTTCTTTTTTTTGAGGGAGGCCTTTGTCAATAAGATTTGGTACGTGTACGGCCTAGGGGATGTTTCTGTAACATGAAAATTTTTCCACCCTCAGAAGCTCCAAAGTAGAATAAAGATCGTATTACGCGTTTGTTTGAATTTACAAGGTTGGTTACTTAAATTGAAAACATGTGGGCGGGTGAAGGAAGGGCCCATTGGAATCATGACAGAACAGGAAAACCAAAACTGAAGAAAAACATGGTTTTGTTTGATGGTTTTCGTCGAAAAACCTCTTTGGCCCATTTATCCAATAATCTCTCTCCTTTTTTTTACTGCTGAAAATTACTCGATGTCTTCCTTTATCCTGATTTGTAACATTTTTGTCGGTATACAGGTTTTGGTCTGAAGTTTTCACATAAGAGAAGTCTACGTTTAATAATCACAACTATAGCGTATTATAATATAATATTTGATACAAAAAGTAATTTTGTTAAATTGCAAGTTGATATAAATATATGGGCGTGGTTCCAATTCCAACCGGACGTCAAATGCGGCGGTTCGAGGAGGAGAGGATGGTACACGTAAAGCACCGTCTCTTTGTCTTCTCATGACAAGTGTCTCCTCCTTTCTACGTCAACCCTCGCCATTTTTGTACGTACCAAAATCACGAGAGGAGTTATTTACATATATATATATATATATATATATATTTTTACAATTCTGTATGTAAACATTGTCCACTTCCCACAGACACAAGAGCAGTATACAGCCGAAAGCCGTGGGAGGAAAAAAAAGGAAGAATCAATGATTGGGGAAGATTGAAAACCACGCGAAGAAGCTCCTGTGGATTTTGGATCTCTGTTTTTCTTCTCTCTTTTTATAGGAGTAGTTTCTTCTTGTTCTTATTCCGATTCATCTCTGTGGATTTCGATTCAAGAAGCGGAAGAGGAAAAGAAAAAAAAATGCCTTCTACAAACTTGATGCTCGAAGAACCTATCAGGATGGCTTCGATTCTCGAGCCCTCCAGGCCTGTGAGTTGAAATCTTTGTTTCGCGAGCTTGACTGTGATCGTTTATGTTTTCTGGCATGTTCCGTTCTTCGTGTTTTGTCTCTTTGAGCTCAAGGGTTTAAGGGTTTCAAGGGTTTTTGTTCTGAAATAATGGTGGTTTTATGTCTGAAATCTCACTGTTGCTCTCGCTCTCTCTCTCTCTAGTTTAACAGGATCATCTATGTTTAAGCAGACATGTTCTGTTCTTCAAGTTCTTTTTTTTAGAGCTTAGGGACTTCGAGGGTTTAAAGATTTCCATGGTGGTTTTATGTCTGGAGTTCACTGATGATCTCTCTCTCTCTCTCTCTCTCTCTCTCTCTCTCTCTCTCTCTCTCTCTCTCTCTCTGTGTTTTCAGACAATATTTCCGGCGATGACGAAGATTGTGGGGACTCTGGGTCCTCAATCTCAGACCGTTGAGATCATCTCTCGTTGCCTTAAAGCTGGAATGTCAGGTACTCTCTATATAATCTGGTGCATCCATATATGTACATGAGCTCAATCATGATTGCAGTAACATAATGACATCAATCTCTACACTTATATACACATTGGAAAATCTGCATATTTCTTCTTTAATGGACAATGTAAATCATGTCTCAAATGGGTCATTATATTATCCACTCAATGATCCATTTGTGACTGGAAGCGGCACTTTTCTTCCTGATTGTCCTTAATTCATCGACAAAGTCTGTGTTCATCCATTTAACGTTTGTTTCTGCAGTGGCACGCTTTGATTTTTCATGGGGTGATAGCGAATATCACCAGAAGACATTGGATAACTTGAAATCTGCAGTCAGAAACACCAAGAAACTATGTGCAGTAAGTTCTTGTGAAAAACGAAATTCGTGTAAAGTTTTGTAATGAAAACATGTTTCAGTCATCTGACGCTGTGGATTGAAAAAACAGGTTATGCTTGACACAGTTGGACCAGAGTTACAGGTTCTGAATAAGACCGAAGCCGCCATTTCTCTTCAGGAAGGTTCATCCATTGTCCTAACGGCGGATCAGACCAAAGAAGCCAACCCCAATCTTCTTCCTATAAACTTCAGTGGCCTTTCTAAGGTCATTCTCCTTTTCCACGATCGAATCTATATACGTTTTTTTAAAGATTTTGTAATGATTCTAATGTTTCCGTAATCGGGTTTTGCCCGTTTTTCCACTGCAGGCTGTTATTAAAGGAGACACCATTTTCATCGGACAGTATCTGTTCACCGGAAACGAAACTACTTCTGTCTGGTTAGAGGTATATAACTACTTGTTCATTCAAGATCGGATCGTTCATGGAGGATTGAACTGATCTAAATATCAATATGTTTTTTTTCTTCTATAATGCTAACTTCAGTTCTTGATTTGTCGTCGTATTAATTAGGTGACTGATATTGAAGGTGAAGATGTGGTTTGTCTGGTGAAGAATTCAGCTACTCTTTCGGGACAATTGTATACCCTTCATGTCTCTAATATTCGTATAGACCGACCCACCTTGACCGAAAAAGATAAGCAGGCATGTCTCAGGACCGTTTATTACGAACCTAAACCCTTATGTCATGATCGATTTTATGTAAAGCATTTTCATTTTTGCTCCTATTTGTGTAATTTCTCAGGTCATTAGCTCGTGGGGTGTGAAAAACAACATAGATTTCCTGTCGTTGTCTTATACCCGACACGCCGAAGATGTGCGGAATGTAAGCTTCTTCTTATATGCGAAATCTCGGCTGCATATATACGATATTTTTCGTATTCATTACCTTCTTGATTTGACGAGAGAGAACGATATGAATATGCATGCAGGCTCGGGATTTTCTCTCTAAGTTGGGCGATCTCAGGCAAACTCAGATCTTCGCCAAGATCGAAAATATCGAGGTAATCCTTCAGTTTCGTTTATATTTCTCCGTTTTAAGTAGTTTTATTTTATCTAATATCGGAATCAAATTTTAGGGCTTGACGCATTTCGATGAAATCTTACAAGAAGCGGATGGAATTATTCTTTCTCGTGGATACTTGGGAATAGATCTTCCCCCCGAGAAGGTATTCTTTACCCATTCTTGGGTTAGATACCGCTTTAGATATGAATCGAGCGAATCATATCGATGTAATATATTCTTTCTTAATAAATATCTGGCCTCTTTCGACGGCATCAGGTGTTCTTGTTCCAAAAATCTGCGCTTTCCAAGTGCAATGTTGCGGGAAAACCCGTAGTGGTGACTCGGGTAGTTGACAGTATGACTGACAACCTGAGACCTACTCGTGCCGAAGCAACGGACGTAGCTAACGCTGTGCTCGACGGTAAAAAAACGATAATATTTTTCAAGGAAACCTTTGGATATTTATACTAATTATCGGAATGCTTTTGTTGAGAAGAATTGTTGTTATTGTGGTTCAGGATGCGACGCTATCCTCCTAGGCGCCGAAACTTTGCGGGGACTTTACCCCGTCGATACTGTATCGACGGTTGGGAAGATTTGCGGAGAGGTAACTCTTTTACGGCTCGAAGAATATTACTATCAATGATCGAAAATCTTACTGCCAAGAGTAATAAATTTATGGGAACAATGTGTAGGCCGAGAAGGTATTCCGGCAAGATTTGTATTTCAAGAACACAGTGAAGTACGTTGGAGAGCCGATGTCTCATCTTGAATCAATCACTTCATCCGCGGTAAACTTTCCCGAAACCTTTTCCATTTCCTGATTCGGATATTTACCGTCGGGTGGGTTATATTTCTGTTTCGGTGTAAGTAATCTCGGATCGGACATGATTACGTGGAAAAGGTACGTGCTGCCATTAAAGTGAGAGCTTCCGTGATCATCTGCTTCACTTCATCTGGAAGAGCTGCAAGGTCAGTATGATATGATATGAGCATCCATGGCTTATACAGATGATGATGATGATGATAATGATGATGATATCTCTGTTAATAATACATATACTGTGTGGATGGATGGATGAAGGTTGATAGCAAAGTACAGGCCGACGATGCCAGTGATATCGGTGGTTATCCCTCGTCTTAAATCGAACCAACTTCGCTGGACTTTCTCCGGCGCTTTCGAGGTACAGATCGATGAACTCTCTCTGTTTTTTCGTATTTAAAACTCGCTTTTGGGTCGGGTACCCGAGTTTTCCAGTGTATCCGATCTCGTTGCCATTTGGATTTTTCCCTCCTCCCCTCAGCTCGGGTTTTCCGTTGTACGGATAATCGCTGGACGAAAATCGAAGATTGGGTTACCGCCAGGCGATGAACCCGTGCTTGATTTCACCTCGGCCAAATACCCGAATTTCGGCTTTACCGAAAACGGATTAATTTCTAATCAATACATGAAAAATCATCGGTGATTAACGTTTTCGAAATGCAGGCGAGGCAATCGCTCATTATCAGAGGCCTATTCCCTATTCTTGCCGATCCACGGCATCCGGTAAAACCCATCAATCCCTCTGATTCTTTCTGGCAAATCATACATTTTTGTTGTTGTTGCGAGCATTGATTCGATTCGGATGTGAATGATTTTAGGCCGAGTGGAGGAACACGACCAACGAGTCGATCCTGAAGGTGGCTCTGGACCACGGCAAGGCATCAGGGCTTGTAAAGCCACACGACCGAGTCGTGATCTGCCAGAAAGTCGGCGACGACTCTGTCGTGAAGATCATCGAGCTCGACGATTGATCCATCCAATCAACTGACGCACCTGTCTTTGTGAGACAGCGTCCAAGTGGTCTCTGTGTTCGTCCTTTTTGTATTAACATCGGCTCATTTCTGTTTCGCGTTCATGTTTTATGAAGTTTTATGTATTACTATTACATTTTGATGTCTGTTTCCATCGATATTATTAATCCAACCAATCAGATTTGAGTGTTTTTATTGATGCAGTTTCAAGGATTCACGTGTTTACTTGGATCCCAAGTAAACTCATTGTAACTAACTCATGCTAAAGCACGATATGAACAGAGAGGAACTTCCTTCCGACATAGGGGCTCTGTTTTTTTATGAAACGTAGCAGTCGTATTTCTCAAAAGGGGGGTTTGATCAAACACATCAGAAGAATTGTTTTTTTGTCAGTTGAAAAAAAAAGAGGTAGATGAAATAAAGAGAGAAACAAATGGACATGGAAGCCGCCAAATCATGCAGTGTCTCTCAGCGATTCTGAAGAGTCTCGATGGCTTTCTTCCATTGAGACGCTCTCTGTTTCGCGTCTTCGAATGATAAAACCTTCTTTGGCTGCGAATGCAAATGAAGAAACAGAGTGAATTCTCATGATCTGGTGAAGACAACAAGGAAGTGAAACCGCTGTAGGTTTACCGTGCAGATCTTGAAGTGGGAAGGGCTCGAGACTTGGACGTTGAGTTCATTCGAGTTGTCGGACCAGATTATGTTCCCTTTGACGACGAGCTTTGATGGGTCGACGTAGATTATCTTGGGTTTGTTCGTCAGTATCAGCTGAACCTTCTTGCTCGTGATCTTCTGCAACTTCTTCACCGCTGATATCATCACCACCGATTCTCCTGGTTCCAGAAACTGTTGCCTGTCAACAAACAAAATGCTTAAATTCTTCCGACCCATGTCAACATCGAAAAAAACCCGACATACTAGGTTTTCTTTCTGTTGCTTTGACTCGTAAGAACACGCAAAATGTCACAAACAATGATGGTGCAGATCTGCAGCACCGAGTACTCTTTTTTCTAGACAGTTTCTGCTAATCCTTACCATCTCGAATCAAAAGAGTCTATGGATGCAAGCCTGGTTATCGAACCCGATGATTCAGAGGGGCCACCACCATGCCCATCGTTCTGCATGGCTGAAGCATCTCCAACATGGTTCGGGTTCCATGGAGAACCATGGCCATCATCCCTCTCGGGAGAAGCTGACTGAGACTGCAAATGAAAAGACTGAATCAAAAAAAGAGCACGAGATACCGATTTGATCTGTATTTCTTAAGATGCATGCCCGATGTTTCGGAGTCTATAAAACGTTTATACCGCGGGATCTGGAACTAGTTTTGGAGGGGTCTGCGACCTTAGATTCTTCCAGTCAATGCCCTTAAAGAAAGGGTGATTCTTGAGAGCAGCATAACCTTCTGGCCCCGCACCTAGTCTTCTGCCAGGATCCGAATCCTGAATTAAATCGTATAGAGAAATCATATATTATATTTCCCCATGATCGAATAATCAGCAACCATAAGGAAACGTTACAGCCAAATCCCCGAGATCTTACAATCAGAAGCCATAAGGAAACATTACAGCCAAATCATTGCACAACTAGACAATCTTGAGAAAAAAGAACTGAGGCACCCCTCGGGAAAATCAAACCCACGGTGCATATATAGATCGGTATCTCTTACCAGTAAACGGTCAATGAGGTCTCTCGCTGCATCTGAAAAATAATGAGGGAACTTTATATCTCTGGCAATGATTCTTTGAAAAATCAGCCATTCACTTGCATCCTTGAAAGGAGAAGTTCCTGAAAGCATTTGGTAGAGAGTGCAGCCGAGTGCCCATAGATCATTTCTGTTTGAATACGTTCAAAATGTACCAAAAGAAATTGGATTCTGTAAGAGGCATGTAACCCATAAAACTTTGACACCAAATCTATAATTGTTATTTTCCCAGAAGTCATGGTTATATGCTCAACTATATTCATAAACTCTTACCCGAATGTTGCTGGAGATGAGTTCAGAACTTCAGGAGGAACATATGCAGCAGTCCCGACAAAAGTGCAGGCCTTATCATCTGTATATGACATCGGGTAAAAAAACGGGCTTAATCCAGAATGTGACAATAATATCTCGATAAAAGACCTCCGACCTCAATGAAAACAGTGTCCGGGTCATTTTACCAGAGGCTGCATTTGGGAGCACGGTTATTCGGCTGTCTTGCATGGGCTTTACACTACCAAAATCAGCAATCTTGATGTGCCCATCTGAAGTGAGCAACAAGTTCTCCGGCTGCCATTTCAAGAAACTGTTGAGAAACTGACCATGACGGGGATTCACTGCTGCGAAAAGAATTACCTTAATGTCTCGGTGTATCAGTCCCATATTATGTATGTACTCGAGCGCATCCACAACTTCTGCAGTGTAGAACCGAGCTTCATCCTCTGAAAGTCGACCTTTCTGCCAAAACAAAAGAAGATACAGTTCGGTGCCCATTGCAAACTAATGAATAGAAAATGTCCGACTGGAATTCAAATCGTTTCTGGAATAGAATTTCTTCGGCATCCAAGAGCAAGAATAACCCTTAGATTCAACTAAAACTTAAAATTTCCCGAAAGAGAGAAAAGCACAAAAAGTAATTACTCTGGTTATCTGGTCGAAAAGCTCTCCCCCCTCGCATGATTCAAGTGCCATGTCTAAACAAAATAAACGAGACCAAAGTCACTTACAGAAGATCAAAGCAGAACACAAGAACCAAAAAAAAAAGGAAAAGAAATACCTACATAGAGAAAATGTATCTTGAAACGTGAAGAACAGCTTCACGATCCCAGGATGTTCGAGTTGATCAAGAACTATCCTCTCCAACTTAACATAAGCTGTTTTATTCTCCTTTGTGATGAATTTTTTGTCCATTATCTTCAAGGCGTAAACAGATCCTGTGTCTTTTTTCTTTGCCCTGACAACCTTCATTACAACATCAGAAAAGGATCAGAACTAACTCCAACGCAGATATCACACCGCGCAGCAACGGTGTTGGGCAAGCAAAAAGATCAATTCAGGTAAACCTATAAATGTTGCAATACCCATTAATGAAACGATTCCAAGGACAAATCCCTCATCAATTCTAAAGACAAATCCCTCACTCCTGAGAAAATATCAAGATATGAATCAACTAAATCCAAACATGCTATACAGAAGAGCAACCCCAGATTTCCAGCTTCGATCATTGGATTAAATTCCGAAGAAAGAGGAACCCCTCTTCATGATTCAATTCGGGAAAAACAAAATTAACACACCCACATTGCAGAGACTACCAAAGCTATGGGAGAAAAGGAAAGATTGAAACTTGAACTCAAACCCATCAATATACAGATAAGTAAATCGAACCGCGTACTCGAAGAATCGTGATTCAATTGGTTAAGGTAGAGACCCATATGGATAAGAGAACGAAAAATTAAAAGGAAACGGAAATAAGCAGATATTGAAAGAAAAATCAGAGACCTTAGAATAAGAACCAACGCCATAGATCTTGCCCAGTTCGAAATCCTGAATGGTGAAATTCTCCTGGGGAGCCCTAAACGCGAAGCTCTTGCTTCTGGATATATTGGCACCGTTGGATGAATTCCCTTGAAGAACAAGCTTTGAATCAAATTCCTTCTCCATCGCCAACATCTCCCTCTCACAGCCCACTTCTTCTACATCTCCAGACGACCCATCAAACAAAAGGAAAAACGATCAACGAGCGAGGAAAAAGCCAAGATTTTCAGAGACCCATTTGGATCTGCAAGGGTATGGGTGCAATCGATGGGCGTCGAGCCTTTTGTTTTTTCAGGGTGATGATGGATTCCGATTTCAAAATTCGAGAAGAAAAGGCAGAGAGAGAGGGAGAGAGAGAGAGAGAGAGAGGGAGGATTTTGATTTGCTAATTTATTGTGTGTATTGGGAAGAGCAGAGAAACGAGGGGAATTCGATGGAGGGGAGAGGAGCTGAAGAAGAGGAAAATCGGAAGAAAGATGAGATTTGACACATGCATTTCAATCACGCTTTGAACAACCAATAAAGGAGGTTCCTTTTTTTTTTTTAATATGCATATAATAAATATTTTCTTAATTCCTTGATGATGGGAAAATTTCTGGAAGAATCTATTCGTCTGATAGATAAATATTACAACAAATGCTTCACTCTCTCTGTTCGATCACTTTTTTTTTTCTCCCACCTTCGGATTCTTGTCGGATCAGTTCAGTTTGGTTCGGTGTGTAAGTTCATGTGTTGTGTTATTAACTACCGATATACATTTTCTCTAACATAAATGCCATTCCTAATTATTTTTCTCAAAAAATAATTTTTGATGTTTGGGCATTTTTTATCTAACCGATACAATAAATCCAAACTGCCAATTGGATATTAGATTTGGTAGTATGTAATCCAAAATTCGTTTGTTAAGATATAGAATGCACGTGATACAAAACAATTTAAATGGTATTTATAGGATCATAATATAATAGATATAAATTGTGTACGAGAAACAAGTTTAGATCTTCTCTTGGTGAGTTTTCTAATTGAAACGCATAAATTACCAATTTAATACTAAAAGTTAATTTCAACCTCACCTTGTCTAATTAGAGATTCAGCACTCAAAGTAAAGGTTAGTGAATTTGTGTGCAATAGATATATAATTATATATCATATATGCGCCCATATAGATTCTTTTTTATTTCCACATAAAAACCTAATTTGAAAATAATTTTATTTGATATTATAAAAAAAAAACTAATATAAGTTTACAGAACGTCAGAACCCACCTACATAATTCATCTAATCAAACCAAAAACACCACTTGCTTGCACTACAAGTAACCTGATTCACTACACATCCCATCCATCTTTCCTCGAATCAAACTCCCATTTCCGATGAGACAAACTTCCGTACATGTCAGAAAATCTCCGGAGACACTTGCTTCGTCTTCTGTAGTGTTCGTCCGTATTTCCACTTATCGCCACACCGGAGAATTTTGACGTGTCGATGGCCCAAGCCGGTCTCACGTACTCCACGGCTTGCTCGGTCCCACTGGCATTTGTGTACAGGAAGTTCATCAACACGTCCTCGCAGTTGAACTGCTCGTCCACAAATTCCCGACCCGCCTTCGCCTCTTCCGAATGGTACCTCCTGAACGCCAAACCCGCGTCCATGAACACGGCTCCCGTGAGAATCACGTTGTATCCGTTCCGGCTTCTCGCGAATTTCTCACCTCTGTATTTCATAGTTTCGTCGATGAGACGAGGGTAGAATCCGACTAGCCTATCCGGATACTCTCTCCATACTCTGAAACCCTTTTCTATATCATCGCAGGGCATCATGATGTCGTCGTCGAGCTCTAGAACGGATCTGGTTTTTATGAGAGGATCAATCTCGAACCGATTGTTCAGGGAGTTCCGTTTCTCGACTCGGATTCTAACGGGCACTGCCGAGTCTAGATCCGTCAGTTTGGGAGGTGACCCTTTGTTCCATATGACGAGAATCTCCTTCACCGAGGCGCAACGGGAGTAATGCTTAACGTACATTTTCAGATTCCAGAGACGAGCTTCGTAAGTCATCGTCACTAACGTGAACTGAGACAAGTGACCTTCGAGAGGGTAAGGTTCAGAAGCTCCATTGCCTCCATAGATGTATCCGACACCTACACACGCGAACAAAGCTCCAACACCAATCATTAAACTGAGTGTCAGTCTTCCGACGGGGGAATTAGGGTTGACGGATCCTCGGGTGGAAGGAGGTACTCGGTTCAAGCGTGAACATAGACGCCTGAACTTAGAGGAACAATGCAGGTCATAGCTCCTGCATAGTAATCCATGGGCCAGTTTGTATGGAACAATGCAGGTCACAACTCCAAGTAGAAACCCTAGTAACACTGTAACAGCAGTTGCAGCCGCGAGAGAAGTATAACCGAGAAGAATCCGATGCATCCGATCGCCGGAAATCACTCTGTCACCGTCGATGAGAGCGATGTATTCACCAGAGCTTAGCTTCTGCACATCGACATGATGTTGTCGTATCCCGTTCCATGAATTTCGACCTTTGCGTGCCACTTCGAGAGTGAACGGGACTTCGGCTTCTCTGTAATCTTCCTTTGAAAGCATCTCGATCTTGAAGATACGTGTTTGTTTCCCATAAGTTTCACCGCAATCTTGGCCAACCCGATAAAGGTTCCCGTCATGTCGGAACACTCTCCCTCCATTTCGAGCACCAAAACTCTTTCCAACATTATAGATAGGGTTATTCTTGTGCGGCCTCCATGGGCCGAGAGGCGAGTTGCTGTACCAGATCTCCAGCTGTCCGTTTTTCTCGGTCCCAAAGCTGCTGTGATCTGACCCCAACAGCCAGTAGTTTCCATCATGGTGGAGGATGATCGAATCGACGAGTGGTTTTTTCAAGATGACCTTCTCGAGCTTCCAGCTTAGGGGGAACTTATCAGCACGGTAGAGACAGAGCTCGCCTATCTCGCTGCTCTCGGGCATCATATATATCTGTAAAATATACAGTTGAAATTAGAGCAATGTCGTCCGAAATATGTATAGAGCATTTTATATGTTCGTGTTTATCATGCATATCGATCTTACTTCTCCGTGATAATCGAATACAAACGGAAACGACAGGTGCCAAGACTCATCCAACACTACGCCCAGAGGTTTCCATGTGGCTCCTTTATCGACACTTTTTGCAGCTCCTATATCCCCTTGCATTGTAGTCGGATTCTTGGTTTCGTAGAATAGGTAAAGAGTATCACCCTGTTCCATTTTTCCCATCCAAATCACATAAACCAACAATTGCGGAAAAAAAAAAGTCTATGGAAATAATGAGGCGGAAATAAGATCCCAAAAGCAGAAACAGAAAGAAACAAGGCAGCATCAATACTAAAACGACTAAAACTCATAGAGATTCATACACATGGTTAATAAAACTTCCACTTCCAAGATTTTTCCAGTTGTTGCTTAACTCGAAAGTTCTGGCTGCGACAAATTTTGCATGTTTACCACCACAAAAGCGAATGAACAGGCAAAACACTGATGCAGTCACCTGTGATATAAACATGAATTCATTTCTCGGTAGCCTATCAGAGATAATCACAATAGAGGAGTTGCAGAAGCGGGCAAAAAGGATTCAAAGGTTACACCGAATTTTGAAGAGCTGCATCATTCTGTGGTAATAACCGATCACGAGGATCATCATGCACACATTTCTCAGTTCTCTCCAGTCTCGTCACCGTAACTCAAGACAGATACGACATCAATCATCTTACCAGCTTGGTTTCAATATATCACAACACAGTCGAAGCAATACAACAGTTCAAAGAGATTCTTTTGAAACAAGCACATTATCAGAAAATTCAAAGATGCAATATATATATATGTGTATATATATACCTGGATATAGAGAAACGGATCGGCAACGAAGTTACTGGGGAAACCAGAATCGGTGACTGAGGCACAGGTCAGAATAGGGTTGGCCACGGGCCACGCTTTACTCTTCTCTCTCCATACATTCACCTGAAACGATCCAGTCCTCGTAGCTTCAGATAACAATGCCTCAACAATCACACAAACCCTAGATGATCTTCGCACCACCAAAGCGGAAAAAACCCCGATACCAATGACGAAATCAAGAAACCTAGATGATCCGTACCAATGCACACACACGATCGCCAGAATTGATTTCCTCTTCTCTAAGAAGACACGAATCTCGTACTGAATAATGCACACATCCCTTGAAAATACACCTAAAAGAATCGAAATTACACAGATAACTCACTGTTTCGATCGGTTTGAGAGCGAAAGGAGAATCACCGTAAAAAACGCCAATCGACCAGGAACCCTCATTGTCTTCTCTGCACCCTGCAGACGACGGAGACGGCGACGGCGACCCCTCCGTACGGCGGAGATGTGAGGGATACGCCAGCCACGTGTACGCGGCGGCAACAAACGCGTAAAATACAAAGCAGCACGCGAAGAACGCGAATCCGGAGAACGTGAAACGACGGCCTCCTCCTCCGCCGCCGCCGCTGCTATGGTAGTTGTGACCATGTAAACGATGATGATGGTGGTGATTGTGAGCGGTGGAGTGTTGTTTCCAGCCACTTTTGAATCCGGAGTTTCCACCGATCGCCGTCGTTCCTTCGCCGGCTCCGGAAACAGCCATTAACGGAGGCGCAACGTAGCTCTCTATCTACGCTCGGCGGCGAATGGTGTTATACATTTGTTTTTTGGCAATTTCAATTTTTTTTGTTTCGTGTTTGATTTATACTGAATTTTCCATTTTTCAGAAGCTGAGAATCTCTCTCTGTGTGTGTATATACATCCTCGGCTTTTGCATATTCGTGTGATATTATTAAGGTGACGAGTGTTTTGCAGGAGCGCAAACGTTACTTGGCATGCTCAGCGATTTTACCAGATTACCCTTGCATTTCTCGGAAATTACAGTCATTCCCTTTTTGGCATTTTTTTCCAAGCGCGAGTATGAATACACGAAGCTACTCGCTCTCTTCGAGTCGCGCGTGTGTTCCTGGTGGTGCACGCGTAGAGACCGGACCCCAGCCGCTGCTGGTGACGTCATCCCAGCTAGTTTTCCGCCACGTCGGACATGTACCGTATAGTAACGCTATAAAAGTTCATTTCTCGCATATAGATTCTGGTTCGAAAATATATATATATATATATATATATATATATTATAGTGAAGATAGTTTTGGATATTTATTAATTATTATATGGTCCATCCATTAAATAAGTATATGCGATTTCATATAGATATATCAATATTAACGTTAGTAAAATGAAAATAACAATTTCGGCAAGTATCACAAACATGGAAACACTGCGTCTGTAATCAATAAATATTCTTTAAATCTTTCATCTTTTGGTAATAATATCTTTCCTTTACTGGTGCGTAAGGGACCATTAAAATAAATTTCGGAGATGAATATTCCCTTTGTAATTAACAATTATTCAGAATTTAAAAAAAAAAATATTTTTTTGGGGCGATTTTTCGCAATAAATGTTGATGTGACAAAAATGATGTGGTTGGACAGTTCGCTCAGTAGTTGGGAGATTTTGCCATGTTAGGGTTTAGTAGTAATTGTATTATAGACTGTATAATTCATGTGTGTGTCTATAATATATACATATATATATATAGGAATGAGGATTTAATGCATAAAATCCTTAATGCATGTCTCTGTCGACGCGTAATTTCGCGATGTCATAATCACAACAACATCAAGAATCAAATCATTCAAATATATTTTTTTAACAGTGAAATCCGTCTCACAGTTACAGGTCGGATAATATCTCGGACAGTAAATCCACAGTCTCTTACGCAGTAGCCAGCAAACCACACGAAATAGATAAACCGGTCAAAACTGACCGGTTCAAAGTTTAGAAAAAATCGAACCCACAGCAACAACAACAACATCGTATATAATGGATCTGTCATTTTCCAACTGAATTGGAGATTTTTCCCAATATAATTCAAATATTTATTGGATCGTCTCCTCCTAAAAACGCAAGGGAGATTTCGTTACAAGAGAAGTTTGGTATATATGTGGATTTTATAAGATGATTTGGATCGAATTTATATATAATAAATAAAAAAAATTAGGATTAAATGGTATACATGAAACTATAGTCCTAATAGCATCATTACATGTATTGATACAAAAGAAGATGTTGCCATTGCATTTGTACATTTGATCAAGGAATGTCACGAGAAGATAGATCTACAAACAGAATATAAGTATCAACAATTTGTGGGGCACAATTGTAAATACCAAAAGTAGAAATTTTAGAGGGTTATGAAATTGCAATTGAGGGGGCGAGAGAATACAAAATTATCAGATTGGCCCCGTGAGTTTTCACGTTTCGATCTGGTAGCCCTTTCACCATAGAATGTAGAATAAAACCGTATACAGTGTTACAGTGAAAGGGCAGGAGCCATGAGGTTTGGCACATTAACCACCAGATCCACTTGATCAATTATTCAATTCAGAATAAATATTCTAATAAATAGACTAAATTTTTAAATAATATAAGAAAAAAAATAAAAATTAGTAAAAAAATAACTTATATTATTTATAATAATAAAAATTACAAAATGAGAGAAAATACGTCAATCATTACATTTAGAAAATAGTATAGGTTAAAAATAATTTTATTCTTATAAAATTTTTATTTGAAATATTTTTTTAACTAGTTCATTTAAATTTTTTAAAAGATATATTGATTAATTTTTTTATCAAATTATATTTTTATTTTCTTACAATATTTTCGAAAATTTAAAATTACCACGATATAAAATACCTACCACAATTTAACCCGATTTACAATTTTAAATTTATAACACATTATATTTTAAAAATAATATTTAGAAGAAAAGAAAAGTGGGCCTAAAAAATTGGAGGCCCTGTGGCAGCAGGGCCCTGATAAGGATTCCTGTAAAAATTGGAGGCCGCAAACTAAAAAATGAATGATTATATTTATTTATTTATTTTTTGTTAAAAGATTATATTTATTTTGATTCGTGTAACTTATATTTGCAAAGGTAAATTGGACCATTTTCTTTGTACTTGGATTTTTTTTTACCAATTTAACATCACAATGAAAATATCTTATTTAGTAAGAAAATTTTAATAATTGACTGCTCATTCATTCAACGCCCACCAATTGGTCACACATTTCATGGAAAAATCATTTATTTCAAGGCATGACAGAGACACAAAAAGTGAGAAATTATGACTAGTAGGATGGCACAAATTGAATAGTCTAAAATTATCTTGACTAAATTGAATTAAGTTTGATTTAAAATTAATTAGATATATTTTTATTATATCCAAGTAAATATAAAAATATTTCATACAATAAAACAGTCTTTACACAATAAAAAGAGATAAACTCTCGTCATTAAAAAAAATATAAGATCATAAACAGACTATAAAAAATAATTTAATTTTTAATCTAGCAAAAATAGTTGAAATTGTAGAATTTTTTTGTATATATTTTTTAAATTAAATGATTGTTTATAATAGTTTGTATACTTATATACTAAATATATTTTATTTTCTCTAAGAAGAAACATTTATATCATATTATATATATATATATATATATATATTAATGAAATTTCGACAAAGCAAGCTGTTGGACCGTCATAAGCGCGTGAAAGTTTATCGCTCAAAAACCTCTATTTGGTGTTGGTGCCACCGTCACTTCCCCAATAACCCCCAAGTAGAAATTATTAACACATTAAACAAATAATTTTAATTATTAATTAAATAAATTCTCGTGATAAAATGCCTATTTCTCCATCACGGTCTCTCCCCTCCCCGTTTAACAGATTCGATTCAGATCGCACACTCTCCCTCTCTCTCTCTCTCTCTCTCTCTCTCTCTCTCTCTCATGGTGAACTCCGGTGACACCTGAACAAGAGGAGAGCTTCTTGTGGATCCATCTAGAGATTCTCTCTTCTTCTCCATGGTGAGAAGCCTAAACAGATAATTGAGAATGGCATTCCTTTCTCTGAACTCGTAATCAATGACACTGCTTGTTTCTATGAATTGTTTGTCTAGCACATTGTAAAAATTGAGCTATCTGAAGCATCTTCAGAAGAGGAACAACTTGAGCTGCTAAAATGAGTTGAGATGAAAATTTGTTTGGGACCTGTCAGTACTGAGCCTGATGTCAGTGGTGCTTCTGTTTGGGTTTGAGATGCAATGTTGAGTTGAACCGCAAGGGGTTGGCTTCCTTGCTCCGGGTCCGTGGTACATGCCTGTTCTACTTGCTGATCGTGTTCGCTGTCTGCGCGTTCGCCATGTCGTCTCTGTTGATTCAGAATTCGATTACATCGGTTTTCTGGCAAGGTAATGTGAAGGGTGGGCAAGTGAGGAGCCGAATTAGACTAGGGGCTACGTTGAAGTACGTGCCTGGAAGCGTTGCGAGGAGAGTAATTGAGGGTCAAGGGCTTGATCCTTTGCGGTCAGTGGTTAGGATCGGCGTTCGACCGCCGAGGCTGGCTCTGGTGAGTTTTTCCTTTCCAGGTTCTTCTTCTTCTTCTTCTTCTTCTTCATTTTTTTCGTCTTTTGTCTCCCTTCTTTACAAATGCATGAAAGAGAGTGATTGCTAGTTTGGGAATTGCTAGATCCGGAGGAGTAGCTTTGGTGATTTGCAAGTTGCTGTGTTTATTAGTTTTACCACTAAGTGAGTGAGGTTGAAGAGTGTTCAATGTGGTCGATAGAAAATTCCGGTTCCTTTCCTTCTGTGACATCTAGATACGCAGTTAGGCTTAGAGGATATAAGTGTATAAAGGAAACCACGATCGCTAAAGTTTAGAAGAGGAATTATACCACACAAAAAAAAAAGTTTAGAAGAGGAACTATCATTTGGTTCTGGACCGGGAATTTACATCAACAAAAGTTTTGTATTGGATGGAACTGGAGCAGAATACTTTGAGGATAGAATTTGTATTGTGAAGAGATTTGATGTGGACCCGAGTTTATGCTCGGTTAGACAATGTTTGGACCCTCTGGTGTCAATCAAGGAAACAAAAAAGGCTGTAGTTGTGTGTCTTCAGCGCCCTGACTAGACTGACAAATCTGGGAAATAAAAAATTATGGCCTTGAGGCATGTGGTAGATGCTGCATTTTGAGGTCCGGCATCAAAGTTATTTTGTAAATGTGTAAAAGAGACTAAAGAGTTGCATCGAACAATCATACTTGATATTCGCAGTGTGATTTTTGTGGTTAGTTTCAATTATTTTGTGACATGATTGACAGTTTCCAGACAATCTTTGGAAAATATTGGATGGATGTCAAATCATGATCGCAGTTGCATTCTGTTATCTAATAAACTCCTAGAACGAGGTACTCTTGCATTTTCCAAAAGATTTCTGATATCAGGCAGTCCTCTTCCTGCTAGGGGTCTTCGTAAGTATTATTGAAGCATATTATCATGGTTAATTATCAAGCATCTTTAGGACACAGTTGCAAAAAATTTGTAGTAGTTTATACATGGAGATGCTCTTTCAGTGAATCCTGCATCCTGTTTAGTATCTTGTGGATAGATTCAAATAAATGAATCTCTCTAGGACTTGTTCGCTGATGATACTAGTGGAAATGCATGTTATGTTTTGCTGCTATGATGGTGTTACTCTGCCTCTGTTGGATTTTTCATGATAATATTTCTGTGTTCATTTATATATATGTGTTTGTCAGTCACCTGCATGCTTTTTATTTTGATGAATGACAGATACTAGGAAATTTGGAGAAAGATCCGCGGACATTAATGTTGGTTACTGTGATGAAGAATCTCCGAACACTAGGTTATATGCTTAAGGTAAAGTTTCCATTGCATTTTATGCATGTAGCTCTCAACACTCTTCTACAATACTTGCCTGTCTTTTCTTTTGCTAATTAGCGGATCGATTAAATGCACGATCTGAAAATTTTGAATAGAAAACTATATGGTTATAGACCAACTGTACTTGTTGTCTACATAGAAACACTTATGATGTTAAAAGTTGACAGGGCTTTGCGGTCAAGAATGGTGAATCACGTTCTCTGTGGGAACAATTGGTTGGTCACATTACAATTTTGGTTCCCGATCAACTGGGGCACATTGATTGGACAAGGTAATGTGTTCTCCATTTTCTCAAAAAATGGACTTTAGCTTGTCCTAGCCATAGCTTGGTGCTAGTTTCCTGAAAACATGATTATTGGTTACTTTGTCAGTTTGTTGATTTTTTTTTACTTTACCTGGATAAATTACATCATATCATCTTCTGCAGCTTTGAAGGTGTTATAGCTGATTCAATTGAAGCAAAGGAGGCCATTTCAAGGTGGGTGAATTAAGTATGTCGACTTGTCGAGTTATCCCTATATCATTACCTTTAGTCTGCATTTGCCCTGGCTGAATTTAGCTGTTTTGACATGCATTTCGTGCTTATCATTTGCAATAGTCCATAATTTTATTTGCGATATTTATTGCAGATAATTAGATGAGAATCAGAAAGCAAAAGCGAAACATGAAGCCTAAATATCTTAATCGATTGCTCTTACTTAATATGCCATTGTTTTTTTTAGCAAAATTCTGTATTCACAAGATTTATGGAGAACCATTCAACGCCAATTTTCCTTGTAGAATTCTTAATTTTGACTTGTATGTTTTTCTGTCGGTTTGGTTCAACACAACACGACACAGCATCCTGAATCTTTTGGTTCATGTGTTTCTTGGGATAGCTATTATGGCAAGAAATTATTACCCCCCACCCTCCACCCACTTCAAAAAAAACATGCTATGTGTTATACCTAAACAGATAATTGAGAATGGCATTCCTTTCTCTGAACTCGTAATCAATGACACTGCTTGTTTCTATGAATTGTTTGTCTAGCACATTGTAAAAATTGAGCTATCTGAAGCATCTTCAGAAGAGGAACAACTTGAGCTGCTAAAATGAGTTGAGATGAAAATTTGTTTGGGACCTGTCAGTACTGAGCCTGATGTCAGTGGTGCTTCTGTTTGGGTTTGAGATGCAATGTTGAGTAAGTTTCATATCTTTGCAGCTTTATGCAGGAGCCTTTCCGTTCGGTACCACTAATATGGATAATTCATGAAGATACCCTTGCACGGAGATTGCCTGCCTACTTAGAGATGGGCCAGAATTCTCTTATTTCTCATTGGAGAAGTGCCTTTGGAAGAGCAGATGTTGTTGTTTTTCCAGATTTCTCCTTGCCGGTAGATTTCTATCCTCAGTAACATCATAATTCTACTTCAAGTTCCAAAAATCTGCTGTGTTCTACCTGATCTTATTCTTGATGTTCAGATATTGCATAGCGTTCTTGATGATGGAAACTTCTATGTGATTCCGGAATCTGTAGTTGATGTGTGGACTGCAGAAAGCTACTGTGAAAATCACACAAAGCAAAAAGTTAGGGAAGCTAATGGATTTACTGAGGATGACCTGGTTATTGTGGTGCTTGGGAGCTCTTTGTTTTACGATGAGCTTTCCTGGGATTATGCTGTGGCAATGCACATGCTAGGGCCACTTTTAACACGATATGGGAGGAGAAAAGATTCAAGTGGGTCCTTTAAATTTGTTTTTCTACATGGTAATTCCACTGCAGGACACAGTGATGCTTTACAGGTAATAAACTCTTTGGTAGTATCATTATTTCCTCCCTCCCCTTGGTTTTGAAAGTCCTTGCTTCAACTAGAAATGTTGCGTATGTAAACATGTCTTGCAAGTGTCCCTTCAAGTTTTTATCACTTGCTCATTTAGAAGTGCAATATTTACATGGTAAGGACATGTCCATGTGAATGCTGCATTGATTCTGGTATGTATCTATGGAGTACATGTCTGTTTCCCTCACGGAAAGTATACTCTGGAAATGAACTTAAAAATATTTTATTTGAGTGTGCAACCTGATATAGGTGGTTTGAGATTTTCGGTGATGGCTTAATTGATTCGTAATTATGGAATTTGTTAATATGAATGCAGGAGGTCACAGCAAGGCTCGGGCTGAAAGAAGGCACTCTTCAGCATTTCGGCTTAAATGAGGATGCCAACGGAGTTTTATTGATGGCTGATATTGTTGTTTATGGATCTTCCCAAGAGGAAGAGAATTTTCCTCCTCTCGTTATTCGAGCAATGAGCTTTGGGATCCCTATCATAACACCTAATTTTCCCATCATGAAAAAATACGTGAGTACCCTATGAATATCCTTCGGCTGCCTCTTTGTTTGTTTGATCCTCTAAATGGCTTCTCCGATTGCAGATGGCTGATGGAGCTCATGGGATAATTTTCGAAAGACATGATCCCAATGCATTGTTAAAGGCTTTCTCACTCATGATATCGGATGGAAGAGTTTCTAAGTTTGGTCGGACAATTGCATCTTCGGGAAGACTGTTGGCCAAGAACATAATGGCATCAGAATGCATTACTGGTTATGCTAGACTTTTGGAGAGTATACTTCATTTCCCATCAGATACTTCCTTGCCAGGCTCTGTTTCCCACCTTCAACAGGCAGCATGGGAGTGGAATCTGTTCAGGAAGGAGATAGGACAGCAGAAAAGTTACATTCATGATTCGGATAGCACTGGTGCTTTCATTGGAAGGCCTGGAGTCGTTTTCCATGTTGAAGAGACGTTCATGGGAATCATTGATTCAAGAAATCCTGTTGACAACGATACCTTTATCTTGTCTGAAGATCTTCCTTCCAAACAAGATTGGGATGTTCTCGAGGAGATAGAGCAAACTGAAGAGTATGAGAGAGTAGAAACAGAGGAGGTATCACATTCTGCTGCCGTCAGGCATATTTCTAGGTTCTCTCTAGTCATTTTTCTGCTTGTCTTGCCTGGTTTATGTGCATTATTTTTCAGCAATAAAGGCATTTTAAATGGAATTATTTGCTTCCTCTTTTGATATGTAGTTAGAGGAAAGAATGGAAAAAGGTGCTGATGACTGGGATGAAATATACCGAAATGCTCGCAAATCTGAGAAGCTTAGATTTGAAGTGAACGAAAGAGATGAAGGAGAGCTAGAGAGAACTGGTCAGCCTGTGTGTATTTATGAGATATATGACGGAGCTGGTGCCTGGCCATTTTTGCATCATGGTTCACTGTACCGTGGTCTGAGCCTGGTAGATTTCTCTATTCATTTGTGTCTTATATTCTATCTAGCTATAATTACATTCCTTTATCCTTGCCGTTCCTTTTTGGCGCTTCCATGATGCAAGCTTCGATTTATGTTACTTGTATTATCCTGGAAAATCATGCTCTATAGTATTTATCACACTGCTAAAATAGTTAGTTTCTGATTTGTCCCTTCGTCATGCAGTCCAGTAAAGCTCGGAGGCTAAGCTCAGATGACGTGGATGCTGCTGATCGATTACCTCTACTAAATGATACTTATTGCCGGGATATCCTTTGCGAGCTCGGAGGAATGTTTTCAGTTGCCAACAAAGTGGACAGCATTCACATGAGACCTTGGATTGGATTTCAGTCATGGCGTGCTGCTGGCAGGAAGGTAATTCCGTTTTAACTTTTGTCTTGTTGATCATCTTGTGTTGAAAAATGATTCACATGAGTTGGAGTTGGTAATATATCAAATTAAATATAAAACTCTACCCGAAATTCCAATTGTAAAAACTTCTCTAGCGATCATTGAAGAAGGCACAGTGTATCTACGTCTTTGTCTGTAACTTCTCCTTATACTCAACCAGTGCTTCATTTCTTGTGGAGACAGGCTTCGTTGTCAGCAAAAGCTGAAATTGCCCTGGAAGATGTTATACAACAAGTCACCAAGGGAGATATCGTATATTTCTGGTCACGATTAGACATGGATGGTGGAGCTCTCGGAAGTAAAAATGCCCTAACGTTCTGGTCCATGTGCGATATTTTGAACGCAGGAAATTGCAGGTACTCTACTCTGCTTTGATTATTGCATACATTGTGCAGATACCGACGATTTGCTACCCTGTCAATCTCTCATCTCCTCATGTATTACTTACTGAAAAGAGCTTCTCATATACTTGAGTTCATAGCATTTGATTTCAGACTACTGATACTTTTGATGTGAGGATTTATGAATAAAACCTTGTTATCTGACCAGTAAGAGTCCTTTCTGGGAATTCAGATCTCTCATCAAAATTGTGTTACTTATTCCGTTTTTGCCTCTGGTCACATCTGTTTCCCCAATGTTCATTGACGCAGAACAATTTTCGAAGATTCATTCCGCCATATGTATGCATTGCCTGCACATGTCGAAGCACTTCCTCCCATGCCAGAAGATGGTCATTACTGGTCTGCCCTCCACAGTTGGGTGATGCCAACTCCATCTTTCCTCGAGTTCATCATGTTTTCGAGGTAACTTTCCCAAACAACTCACAACATATTCAACTGTCTTTCCTCGAGTTCACCAGAAAGGCAGAAACTTACCCGCTCGATTGAACCCTCCGATCCCAGGATGTTTTCGGATTCTCTTGATGCACTTCACGACAAACCTAACGAAACCAGAACATGTTCACTGGCTTCATCAGATCTCGAGGTAAATCCCACGTTTCTGTCTGACTTTTTATCCTTACACCCTCTTCATCATCCATGATTGTTTCCAATGATGAGCAGAGAAAGCATTGCTACTGCCGGATTCTGGAATTGGTAATCAACGTCTGGGCTTATCACAGTGGAAGAAAGATGGTTTACATAAATCCTAGAACTGGCTCTCTCCAAGAACAGCATCCTCTACCTCAGAGAAAGGGATTCATGTGGGCAAAGTACTTCAACTTCACCTTATTGAAGAGCATGGACGAAGACCTAGCCGAAGCTGCAGACGATGGTGACAACCCAAGGGAGAGATGGCTATGGCCATTAACCGGGGAAGTACACTGGCAAGGTGTATATGAACGGGAACGAGAAGAGAGGTACCGGTTGAAGATGGACAAGAAACGCAAAATCAAAGAGAAACTTTACGAGAGGATGAAATATGGGTACAAGCAGAAATCTCTAGGAGGATGATACGAAAAAAAACCGAGCTTTCGGGTTTCTACTAACACGTTTTCGGGTTCAGTCCCCGAGATTTTTTGACACGAGGAAACTCGCCGGAGCAGATTCACCGACCAGATCGAAGCATGTTTGGCAAGTAAGGATTCTTTCTTCCTGTTATTTGCTTCACACGAAACTCAAAACTCAGTTTCTTTTTTTTTTTTTTTTGGCAAACTGATAGATTTTATAGTATGGGTTTTTGATGGTTTGTATATACATTCATTGGTACCAAATTTTTTTATGATGATAGCAATAACCATCTTAGCTTTAGTTTTCTAATCTCTTGTTTTTAAAAGTCACTTAGCCAAATATCATGAAATCTGTAGTCTTGATTGAGTACTGCTACGCATCTTTAGGGTTTGGTATTTGGTAAACCCAACACTTAACCTCTCAATTTTTTTAATTGCCCTTTTCTCCCACATCTAGTAGTATCCTATGAGAGTGTGTGTGTACACACACACATATATACACAAACATATATATATATATATATGCCTGTTAATTCAACAAGTTTTCATCTCAATGCAATTGATATAATAGGATATATTTTTATTATTCTTCTAATAGAAGGTGAAAATGAGATACAAAACGTAATGTTGAATTTTAGAAAAATGCTTCGAAGTAAAATTTTCTATTATTCCGGTTTGTGTTCAAATAACAAAGAAAAAGAAAAATTATGCAAAACTATATACAACAGAAATTTAACCAAACCAAATCCGAGATATGTAAATTAAACCGACTAAATTAAAATAAACGGTCGATAACCCGTCACAAATTCTAATATAAAAAATATATATATATATATATAACTCAAAGATGGCCATCATGATCCTTATCTATGCACGTTTAGAATTTACTTGCTTTTGTTGTCTCTATTGTACATTACAACCATACAAATATTAATCTACTAATATTTAAATTCAAATAAGAGTATTTAAATTTCATATCATTACAAAACCAACAAAGTAAACCTTATTACAAAAAGACAACCTATGGAGATATGAAGTGGTAACAGTTGAACGAGTGTTTTTTTTGTGTACCTATTCACTTAATACCAATACACAAACATACATACATACATATATATACATATATATATATATATATATATATATATATATATATATATATATTATAAATACCTAATACTCAAATATATTGGTGGATTTTTAAATCCGAAAATACTTGCGGAATGACATATTTCAAACCTCTTATAAAAACTAGAGAACTTTAATGTAATATTTCCAGAGGAAAACAAACAAACACAGTCTCGGAAATGAGTGTGTGATATAGCCAAAAATTTCAATTTAATTAACCCATCAAACAAATATATTATTAAATCTAAACGCGTGTAAATGGTCGCTTATTATAAATCAATTTCAAACAGCTGTTGGTTTGGTCGCTATTTTACTTAACAAAATTATTGTCTTTTTTTTCCCCATTATAATAATTTTATCATTATAACTTGAAAAATAAACAAATTCGAACATATGTAAATGAAAAGGCAAAAAAAAAAAGAATATACCGAATATCAAAATAATTCAAAATGTGTGCATATATAGGAAGTATAATATAAATAAAAGTTAAAATAATGCCTTTTACAAGAATGGAAAGAGTAAATAACGAAATGAAATTAGAAAATGGGTGGATTTTCCACCAAATGGTGATAGACATTTAGTGTAATCATAAAAATGTATAACAATTGTATGCGTGTTACATATACCTGCATGTGCACTACTGCAATTATATATATATGGAATTTATCTTTGAACGACAAAAACTTATTGTTCCCACCTTCCCTTGCAAGCTCCCTCTCTAACCCTCTTTTCTCCACGCATATATATATACATACATATATATATATGCACATGTGTATATGTATTTGTGTGTGTATTCATGTGTATGTATGTATGTCCCCCCCCCCCCCCCTCAGTTTCGGTTCTTCTGCAGAGAAAACTGTCCAAACCCACGCTTACACCAAAACAAGAAAAGAAAAAAGTCACGAAGAGAAAAGAGAAACTTCACAACATATACATACATATACAGATATATATCATATATAGAGATCCATACATATATATACACATACGCAAACATGGATCTTGAATTACTACAAGATCTGCCGAAATTCAGTTCGTTAGCTGCGATCAAGATCAGATCCCGCGTCGACAACGGCGGCGACGGCGGCGAAATCTGCACCACGCCCACGTCGGAAGAACACAAGATCGGCCCCCCGCCGGCCCCTGCGAGTCTCAGGTCATCCTCGTGCAAGAGGAAGATTTTGTCCTCGTCGGAGATCATTAACCGTGACGACATCGACCGGTTCTTCTCCTCCGCCTTCGAGGCGGCGGCGGCTAAAACGGCGGAGAAGCGACGGAGGAGACGTTACCATTCTCGAGCATGAAGGTGAATGCGTCGGAAAAAGGAATGGTCAACTCTGGCAAATAAAAATATTTAATTATATATATATATACATATATATATATATATATATATAGTTTATGTATCGTGTACGAGCGAGAGATAATATATGTTGCAATCTTTGTTCGACGGATTGAATAAATGTTCTTTCGCTCTGATAAAATACAAATGAACCAACAGACGGTCGATACCCAATTAAGGAATATAATAAATTGATTATATCATAGATTTTAATCATACTTAGATGGCGTTAAATGAATCATTTAACATTTAAACATTATATAACCCAAAAAAATAAAAATATTTGAAGGGCGAAATATAACAAAATTGTGTTGAAAACGACTTACACATGTAGTACAGTCCATTAAATGCCTAGTAATCGAACCAGGTATATATATATATTTACAAGATCTTGCTCCAGTCAGTTCTCATTTATTTTTTTTATGTGACGCAGTAAATGTCAATTTGAAAATATTTTCTCTTAATAAATGTTTTTTTTTTTGTAATTTTGCAGCCATTAAATAATAATAATAATAATAATAATAATAAATTAGTAATTAGGTTTGATCAAAGTGCTAATGTCGTTTAAAGGGTTTTAGGTGCTGATTTGGTGGAGATGACGGTTGCGTGCGTTTTAAGTGTAATGGGAAGTAACAAACGCGAAGATTATGATACCTTGATTTAAGTATTTAAATAATAATTTATTCATCCAATAATTACCATACACTAAATTCTATTTTATAACGAAATTAGTTGATCCGAAATTCCATGTGCCCTTTGACATTTGTGTATATATATATATATATATATGTGTGTAAGCATTGATCGAAGAAAATGACGAATATATTATGCCTATCGTATTTGGTTACAAAATAAAATAAAATTTATAATCACATGGAATCATGATATAAAAATATATTCGTTTTTAAATGTAGTGGAGCCATATCGACGCATTGAAATGGTCATCTCGTTTTCGAGAAGTTATTTAGTTTGGCACGTTTCGACAAGTTATGAATTTTAGCATTAAAAATCATTTAGCTGTTACATTCATTTTCCGATTTTCCTTATCCCTATTTTCCATGTTCGGACACAAAAATTTATTGCACACAAAAATAGAGGAAAATCCCAAAACAATTAAAAAAAATCACCCAATGATAATTGTAGGCCAGATATTTAGGATTTTGGGCTTGATTTTGATTTTTTATTTTTGGATTCAGTTTTTTTATTCAATTATTTTTTTTTATATTTGTTCGGATTATGTTTAAAAAATATATATTTCTTTTTAAAGAGAATTTTATTTTTAGTTCGATTTTCAATTGTTTTATATTGAGCTCGGTCTAGATTTAATTAATCTAGTTTTAAAAAATAATACCGAATAAGTTCGATTGGATATGATTAGATATTATATGATTCGCTCCAAGTTTGCATATCCTAACTGAATTAATCATTTAGAATAATTGTAATCAAATTATTGTGTGACAACTGTGCGGTCATATAATTAGTTAAGAAATCACATTTAAATATACATTATCAAATCCTAATGGAAATAACTCAAGGCTCTATAAATAAATAGTTGAATGTCTGAATTTTCCATATAACACATAAAATTTTAAATAGTTGTATTTAGGATTACACGAAACTCATATTTATTAATAAATATTAAAAATGAGAATATATTACCCTAAAGGCTAAACTTTAGAAATCAAGGTTCCAGTTTTAGTGAAATGGGCCGTTTGGGCCGTGGACTTGTTTTTGGGTAATGAAAGCACGTGCCTTAACTCTTAATTGTTAGGCCCACCACTCGCGTTTACCACATCCTCGCAGAAGAATTTACCCACGCGCGAAGAAAGCGCGTGAGTTCCACTTCCCCAAAAGTACGGGGCCACGTAGTTTGCTGTTTTTGGACACATCTGAGAAGTGAGAACCAAGCGCGTGAGCTCTTTTGTGTTTTTTTTTTCATATAAGCAAAATAATCAAGAAAAAAAAAACACCTAGCCTCAAAATCCCATGGATTATTAATATCTTTTAATTTAATAATTTTTTAAAAAAAATATCCTTTCCAAACGAGCCAAAAAGCATAACGAAGTGTCAGTATATATATATGTGTGTGTGTGTATATATGTATGTGTGTGGCAAATTGATCTCTCCATCGAGAGAGAGAGAGAGAGGGAGAGAGAGAGAGATGGGAGAGATAAGTTTCACAGAGAAGCAAGAAGCACTGGTGAAGGAGTCATGGGAGATACTGAAGCAAGACATTCCCAAACACAGCCTTCACTTCTTCTCACAGTAAGCACACACATATATATATATATACACACACATACAATACAATACATATATATATACGCATATACATGTACGTAACTGTGTGTATATATGAGAACAAACAGGATACTAGAGATAGCACCGGCAGCAAAGAACATGTTCTCTTTTCTAAGAGACTCCGATGAAATCCCACAAAACAACCCCAAACTCAAGGCTCATGCTGTTAAAGTCTTCAAGATGGTACGTATGTGTGTATACGTATATACGTGTGTAGATTCACTTCTTTATACGTATGTATATGTATGTATATGTATGTATATCATCTAATAAAATGTTTTATCGTCTTTATGGTTATATGGTTAGGGGGTGACGAAAGAATGCGTTGAATGTGATATGTTGGAAACGTATGTGGTCGCCATGTGCCTTATCATATGCACCTTTTGGAATCTTTTAAGTCTTTTTTTTTTTTTATATAAATGTATTTGGAGATTTTGTCTCCATTCATGGAGAAACAATGTACACAATTTTCGTAAGATCTTTTGATTATAAATATATATCTTTAAATTAAATTTATCGAATTCAAATAGAAAATAAAACTGAAAAACCATTAAAAGTCTGAATATCCACTAAAGATTTTCAAAAGATAAAACTAGTTTTACAATTATTTGAAGGTAACAAAAAAAAAATCATGATTTTTTTTCATATGCGTGTTCTTTTAAAGACCAGAAATATATATATATATATATATATATATATATTCATATATATGTGTGGGTGTTTTTTTTTTTTGGATGGCAAATTGAGAATAGACATGTGAGTCGGCAATACAACTAAGGGAGAAGGGAGAGGTGATTGTGGCTGATACAACCCTCGAGTATCTGGGCTCTCTTCATCTCAGCAACGGCGTTCTCCTTCCTCACTTTGAGGTTTATTATATCTTATATATATATTCTCCCATATTGATTTATATAAACCTCTATATTGATTTGGATGTAAATGCAGGTGGTGAAGGAGGCATTGCTGAGGACAGTGAAGGAAGGGGTCGGAGACAAACACACGGAGGAGATGAGGGAGGCTTGGTCTCTAGCCTATGACCACTTGGCTTCTGCCATCGTCGCCCACATGAAACCCGGCCCTTGAAACATAGCCCATTCATTGTCCCATATCCACATCTTCTACATTTACATATACATATACATGTACATGTGTATATATACATGTTTGTATGTGTATGAATAACTATAAGCATGTCATGTGATGTGTATGTTGCTATGTTGCTCTCTCAAGCTTCCTTCCTCTTTTGTCATTGTGATGTTGTGTTGATTCTGTTTTAATGAATTTGCTGTTCAATTGGAGACATCATGATTCATATAAAATACAAATTTTATATGTATGTGAGTGTTTTTAAAGTTCAACTTGATTACAAACCCCTCAAAAGATCAAATCTATGCACCTTTTGGTTCTGAAATTAGTCCCACACATGATACATGCCCAAGTGATACATTTACATGTGTCAATAATGGCCCATTGTCATGAAGTTGACCAGTTATTGCAGTTGCAGAAACCATGGGAATATAAGGAGGTTATATGTAAAGCCAAAATGTGTGCAGAAAGATGGGAAACACATGATGGGGGAATGAATCAATGAAGGCAATTTTCTATAAGGTTTTACTCCCGACTATACACAAGTGAATATGAAGGTACATGAGATGCCATGAACAGACATCGAGAGTCATCAACTCACCCCAAAACCCATCCGACACTTTCTTCTCCTTCAGACATCAACCACTTCCCATGTCCTTTTCTTCCAAATCTCTCTCTCTCTCTCTCTCTTATTCTGTTTCTTGCTTCTTCTTCTTCTTCTTCCTCTTCTCTGTTTTGGGACTTACAGAATGGAGTAAGCACGGACGACCTCCACGATCGGAGCTCTACACAGAGGGCATTTCCCCCCGCTCCTGACCAGCTCGTTTGCGCATTTTGAACAAGTGCACATGTGCCCACACCTGAAGGTTCATCGATGAAAATACGTTACACAGATGACTTCGGGATTGTTTTAATTTTACTCTTCTGTAAGATGCAAAACAAAAAGGGTTCGAGCAAATACCTGTACAGGAGTGCATCGATGTGGTTATCGCAGCAGACACAGCAAGTCCCTTTTCTTACATGACTCCATCTCGACCCATCTTCTGATGTTTCCGGTCCCAGACCTGTTGCATCACCAGTTACTACGGTTATATACATACATATACACACACATATACACATGCAAGTTTATGCATACCTTTGTCACCAGCAGATCGGTTTAAAGCAGCAGAGACCTCTTGCCTGACCGAACGCTGAAGCTCCAACTGCATATCCATGCAGGCCTCAAGCATTCTCTGCATGTGGTTCATGCCTTGTTGAAGTCTTGCCATGTCTGCTCTCAGGTCATTCATCATTTCCCATTCCTAACTCAAGAAGAGCAGCATTGCTTAAGATCATTACACTATCGAGAAACCTTTGAAGCAATAAAAGTAGCTTATACGTTATTGGATAGGTTGGTTACAGGCTAGGAATTGCTTTTTTAGACACCAATGCAAACTGACAAATAATATCACATTCGCATATGCTGCACTGGCAACCTATGAGGACAGTTTGTGTACCATCATGCCAATCATCATATGACTACCCAAGTTTGCATCATAACATTGCACATTTAGATGCTTGGATTCTTTCAGCACCCAGAAGAATAATCAGAATGAAGAAATACTGGTTTTTGTATAATATGAGAAGCTAAAGCACCTGGAATAATGCAGTAAATGAAAAACCCTATAATTCTAGAGCTTACCATGTCAGACCGATGCATAGAATGACGAGGCCAACTAGTGTGATGTAAATCCTGATGCCATGTAGGCCGGGGTGGAGGGACTGGTGGGGTCGGTAGCACTTGTGGCGGACGATTGATGCCATCAAGCTGGTCATCATTCCGTCCAAAGCCTTGCTGCGCTTGATCACGTTCTGGGGAATCAGGGTTTTCTGCTTGCAGGTCCCCTTGAAGATCCCAATCCACATGAGTACGTCCTCTCCTTTCAACATATGATTGTATCAGTTGATCCAGACTTTCACGGAAATCACTACGTAGTAGATTAGAAACACTTCTCCTACAATAGTTAGAAAAAAAAATCCACTAAGTAAACACAATCCACCTTTTTGTCAGCACCTTGGTTTAAAAAAGCGCGAGGCGTCGCGAGGCGCCAAAGGTCAAAAAAACCGAAGCGCGAGGCGCGAGGCGGAGGCGCACGCCTCACGTATGTGAGGGGCCTATCATTTTTATATCAAAATATATATATATATTATAGTTTAGGTAGTACAGATTATATACTAACTATATCAACATAGATTATATAATTTAGTTAGTATACTATACTTATTATATATAAATAATCAAAATTTACAATAATATAAATAAAATTAAAAATAGAATGATAGATAAATATTATTTGTTTTGATAAAAAAATTAACTTTTTAAATATCACCAATGCATATATATATAATGAATCTTATTATTTAATTTGTATAGTATATCTATATGTATATATTTAAAAAGAATAATCTTAGTGGACGCCACTTATTTCTTCCACGTGCCTTTCTCAAGAAGGCTCTCTCACACAGCACACTTGCCCACGTTTTCCCCTTCTTCAATTTTCATCATTTTTTTTTTCAGAAAATTTGATTTTTTTGTGATTGCACCGCCCCATATCTCAGAGGCGCGCGACTCACGCCTTGTACAGAGCGCACTGAAAGGCGCGCCTAGGACCGCTTCCTGTATTTCGCCTCGCCTCCAAGTCTGGAGGCGATTTTCTTATCGCTTATGCGCCTCCACCGCCTAGGCGCGCCCCAGGCGCGCTTTTTTAAACTAAGGTCAGCACATTGTCTGAAAGTTATAGTTACCTGCTTAAGAGCTCTCTGAGTTCCATGCTGTAAACATTGTCATCATCCGGTGGATGGAACCTGTTAAATCTTCTCAATGGTACCACACGGCGACTCCTTGGGGCATCAGACAGTGCCTCGGACCAGTTTCCATCACCTTGTCTAGAATCATCATCATGCCAAACACCATGGACTTCGCCCATATGAGCTTCATTTGTATTTTCAGCAGCTTCTTGGCGCAAATCATTGTCTGAGTTTTCTTGCAAGTTTCTTTCTGTGGGTCCTTGACTGGTATCTTCTTCCCAATTTCTATCAGCATTTGCTTGATTGCTTTCCAACCTGCTTGTTTCGTCAGGCAAGAGGTGACCACTGTTTCCCTGTATATAAGAACTCAATCTTTCATTGGTTAGATGCTGAACATTCTCAGCTGTGTTAGCCATAGCTCGAGCATTCCTGGAATTGTTGCTGTTATCGTCATCAGTGATACTAGTATTGCTGGTAGCTTGTCCTCGGACAATATTTTCCAGCCTGTTACGGAACCCTACCCTGTCACAGGACCAAAACCAGCGTTGAGGATTTAGCCAGAAATAAGCTGAATTCTTATGTCTAACAAACCAAAAGAATCAAACAAAGGAAGTTCCTCCAACAGATCAAAATGAAAAATGGCATTAATCATTTTACACATGATCTTCTTTGAGCATGAGAGAGACATTTAGAAATGCAAGGATATAAAAATATAAATTTATATCCTCATCTCATCTTAGCGTAATACACATATCTGCAATGAAACACATCTGATCCTTTGATTTAACATGTTCTACAAGTTTTACCATCACTACACTTCGTCAAATACCAAAACAAAAAACGATTAACCTATCCAACACGAGTGGGAAAGAAGTTTTACCGTAAGCCAGAAACCGTATGGCGTTCTCTTAGTTGAAGAAGTTCACTTGCCGCCATGGAAGGAGCTCTCTCTTCATCTACAGGCCTCTCGTTTCGCAAGAATCTTCCTCTAAGAAGTGACTACAGAAAGTACACAGCATTAGGATTTGAGGTACAAGGACTGAAGGCTCTGACATTCTGATAGTAGATGATGTTTGTAGTCCACTTCTTGAAACAGAGACATAAGTTTTCGGTAATTGAGAAAATTAGTCAATCCCAATTTGATTTTACAGCTCCTAACTTGTAATTCTTCAGTCTATATAGTCTGAATCTAAAAATGTTGTCAATGAGAAAACAGAGATGAGAAAGATAAGCAGATCTTATCTTATGGTAATCTGACCTGAATCCGGTTGCGATGAGCGAAATCAGACACTGCACGATGCTCCAACAAACCCTGAAGTTCCCTCTGCCGTTCTCTTTCAATCCTCATGAGCAAATCAATTACAGCCTGCCTTCCTCGTAGCCTCAGGAGGTCTCGACGAATATGCTCTGGTTGCCCTTCTTCATTTTCAACTGCTAGCCCTTCACGGATCTGGTCACCTTGTGCACCATCACCAACCCTATCAACTTGTGCACCAAGAGATCCCCGATCTTCTCTTCTTCCTGCCCGAGTCCCTCTCTGCTGACTTGCCATTTGCATCCATTCCCTAATAATCCGGACTCTTTCACGTTCAGTATCACCGAGCCACTCTGCTCTACGATTATCATTTCTCTGGCTTACATTGGATGAAACATCATTAATACCACTCTCCACCCATCCACGAACAATTTGCCTCACCCTCTCCCTCTCGACTTCACCAAGATCAGGAGACTGTTCCCTACTGGAAGAATTATTATCCCCACGCTCATTTCGCACACCCATCTGATCATTCGACCATGCACCATAATCAGTCTCGCTCCCACTCGAGTCCCTTACACTCCCATTGATTTCACTCACCTGACTCTCTGACCCATTTAAGCTTACCAAGTTAGTATCCGAATCAGAATTTCTTTGCTGCCTTAGTCTTTCCCTCACCCTCCCACGTGCTCGGTTCAGCACATGCTCATCTTCCAGCTCCCTCCACATCTGCAGGATTGCAGATGCTTGAGTGCTAGGCCTCTCAGTAGCCCCCTGACGCCTAGAGGACGGAGACTGCGACTCCCTAAGGAACGATGAATCAAGCATTGAGACGGTTTGTAAACCCGCAAGGGCAATCAATTCAGACTCACGGTTCCTCCTCTCAATGGTGGTAATCATCTCCTGAGCCTGCCGAGCAGCCCAGCGGCTCAGAAGCCGAGACTGGCGCCTCCTAGAGGATTCAGCCAAATCGTCTCCTTCGAGTTCGGACCTCCGTCTCCTCCTAACTAGCTGATGATCATCCTCATCATTATCGTCATCTGGGTTATGCGTCGAGCTGCACGACCCGAAAGACATGCAATCATCCAAGTGTCCTCGCATGAACTCCTCCAATCCACGCTCAAACTCGGAACGAGCATCATCCGCAGATTCCGGTTTTTGCTGCAGAGGCTGAATATCTGTCATCCTCACACCTATAAAAAAAAACTCTCTCTCCTTATTACCACCTACAATTCTTCCTTCAATCTAACAACTTGCAGAGAGCAAGTTTCTTCAGAGAGATGAAAAAGACCCAGAAAACGGGAGTGAGATGCAAAAGCAGAGTCGTATGAATACAGGGAGCGCCATAGACGTTAGGTGCTGATACAATCCATGTGACGAACAACCCAAGAACCCCATCAAACTCAAAAATCTAAAATCGAATCATCATTGCTCCACAAACCAAGAATCAGTCCCTAAATGCACAAACGCCCTGTATCCGTCCTGATAAATCGATTCGAAAATTTCAGAGCCAAAAGTTCTCCAATTCATATCACCTGATAACAATCATCAGCCAAATCAAACGACTCAAACCCTAATTCCACTTCCGGAAATCGAAAAGGAACGAATTCCGATTCTTTCGACAGAAGTCACGATTAAAAAAAAAAAAAAGAACCCAAATAAGAAATCAACAGGAAGACTATGATCAAATTAGCGAGACATACATCTGGAAACTCTTCGTCAATGGCGAACACAAAATGAATAAAAGTGCAACAAGAAGCCTAGCTCCCTTGGAAAGAATTGGTCAAAATTCATAATCAAACACAGAAAATTTGGGTAGAGATCGAAGGAGATGACGAGACGATGATCGGAATTTATAAATGATGCGAGAGAGGGGGAGTTTTCTGAGGGGGAGAGAGAGAGAGAGACAGAAGATTTTAGAGAGAAGGGGGAATGGCCATTAGATCGATAAAAAAGAAAAATAAAAAAAAATGATCACTCCTTAATTGTCTTTTTCTCACAATTTTAAAATTGAAATCATTTTTAATTTCCTTTTTTTTTCCCCTAATTTTTTGCTTTTTAAGAGAGAAAGGGCAGGCGAGTCTAAAGGAAGGGGAGGGAGCATGACTGCACGGAACGACACGTGTCAATCTTATGTCACTCCACTTCACTTGCTTACGCGGAGTTTATTTTCCTTTATTAATAACAATGAATTATTATTATTATTATTATTATTATTATTATTATATTGTTATTATTTGTAAAACAAGAACATTTCATAGACAAACATGATTGATAATAGTATGTAAGAATTGTTATAAAATTGGTCCACATACCTTTTTGTGGCGATCTCACTCGAACAAAAAAAATATATTATCTGTTTTCGTAGATGGATTTAAATAAGATTTGACAATTAATGAATATTCTAGGGTTCATGTCAATACTTCTTCCAATTATCCAATGCCAATTTATATATGTGTGACCAAAATATTTGTATCATAGCAGTATTTTAGTTCTTGTAAAACGAATAATATTAAGAGTCATATGAAAAAAAGATGAACTGTCAAATATCGTGAGATTTGCAACCATAATAATCTTTATTGAATCCCATCTAATATTAATAACTTTATTCTATTATTGATTCAAAATCTTAGAAAAAAAACTATGCATATATATAATTAGATCTTATAAAAAAAAATATACAGTGACTAAAACATATTTTTGATATATTGTATAGTATCACGTTCTTCATCTCAATTATGACATCTTTTTAATTAGTTAGTTTTTTCCTCAATTTATGTTCTCAATCTCTCACTGATGAATTTCCCCCCCTATGAAAGCTAATTTATTATATTTTAAATCCCTTATTCTTCTACCCTCTCGCACTTCAATACAATACAAAGTTTTTAAATATTTTACAAAGTTAATATAAAAAGGTATAATACAAAATAAGATTGCATATGCATTTCACATCTCCAATAAAATAAAATGAAATATATATATATATATATATATATAGAGAGAGAGAGAGAGAGAGAGAGAGAGAACTTGGAACGTGACACATGACCACAGTTTAATTATCAACGCGAAGTAATCTTTTTAATTTTGAAAATAAAGTAATTTAAAAATACACACACACACACACAAATATATAACATTAAATACATAAAAAAAAATTATAGTCTTAGAAATATAAAAATTTTGGGGGGGAATGTTCAATGGAGTTGCTTTCTCGTAAAGTGAATAACAAAGCAAGTTTAATAAAATCCAAGCAATTATTTTTGTCAGATTTTTTTAATACACGCAATTAAAGCACTAATGATCAATTATTATTCTTCTTCTTAAAATAAATTAAATAATTGGATTTTAATGGATATAGGCTCCTTGGTTTGATTGCTATGAACCTTAGCTTCATCTGATGAAATGGACCCAAAATGTCTTACCTTTTCCAAGTTGACTCTCTGACTCGTCTTGTTTGTTTTATATTTGTTTTTATTAATTAATAAAAAAAAAGATCCACAAAAATATTCTTCTCCTTGGTAATGAAAAATAATAATAATAGTCTTTGTATAAAAAAAATACGCCTAATATGGCATTACTAAAATGAAATTTTTCTGTATTAAATTAGTCGACCGACGTTAAATTATAAACATAACCTAAATATAAGATAAAGACGTTAAACAAGCCAAACATAATAAAGTTTCTGTTTCAAAAATAGAATAATATGATTATGACTTCTATTATTTAAATTGTTCGGATTTTATATCTAGGTCGGCAAATATTCATTGAAATTACACATAATTATCTAATATAGAAATACTTGACGTCTATAGGTTTGTGATTTTCGAATCCACGCGTCGAGACGTGTGTCGTGTATCAGAGAAAAGATTAATGAATAATATATAAGTATTAAAATAATCAAAAGAAATATGAATGGAATTTAGGAATAAGCACGTGTCGGAGCTTAGATTTCTGCAGAAAAATGTTGGGCCTACCGACAACGTGTGGGTATGTCCAAATGCTACTTCCTCGCCCCCTAGTTCATGGTGTTTTTGGATCTCGGAAATTAAATAGTTGAAAATTTAGATAAAAAAACATTATATAATACTCCATTCGTTTCAAAATATTTGTAGTTTTAGATTATTTTACATGTTTCAAAATATTTGCCATTCTACATTTTCAAGACATTTTTTTTACAATAGTTTCCAATTTTATCCATATTAAATTCTAATAAATTATTAATGATAACATTATTTTTATCATTAATTAAATAAGGGTATATGTGACTTTTTATCTCTTTTCTTAAAAAATATGAAATAACCTAAAACAACAATTATTTGAAATGGAGAGAGTATATATATACACACACATAGCCTCGGTTGTAAAACCTATGTAATTTAGTAATACTTTACTGATAAAAATTATTATCCAAACACTTATAATATATGTTATTGAAAAAAATAAAAGTTATTCATTTAGTTTTGTCTGGACTAATATATATCTGAAATTAGTATTGAATTTTTTTTATTAATTTTAATTTAGTTACGGGGTATATGGTTCTCATCTCATGATCTCTATATCTCTGATAGTAAACAAAAAAAAAGTATTCAATTTGTATCGAATTTTATTTACATATAATACGAAAGTTGGGATTTAATTTGAAAGAAGTAAATGCATCTTATTTATAAATATTTAGCATTAATCAACATTTATCGGATCTTATTTAGATTATACCAAATCGGGATCTTCGAAAACAGAAGTGCTTTATAATTTTACGGATAAATAGTAATAAATATATTATAATTGGATCGATTTATGTGAATGAGGGCAATTTTACCAACCAAAATTCTTAACATGTCGGGTTCTCTATCCTTTTATTGCTCCAATATGAAATGTCGGTTTAAATAAATATATATATATATATATATATATATATATATATATAATATTATAAGCAAAATGTCCAAAAATAAGCTTGCAAATGCATTGGGACGATATACAAGCTTGCATGGATTATGGGTTGTGTTAGGTCGCACGTCTTTCACTGAAAATTATACAAACGTACGCTTTCCCCACATGCGTCTCTACCTACAGTTTCATTCATTTTATTTTATTTTATTTTAAAAAATAAAAACCATAAGTTTACATGTCCTTTCACAAAACGATTTTAAAAAGAAATGAGAAAACACCAGTCTTAATTATGCCCTAAATTTCGTAACAATCACAATATAATGTTTTTTTGGTAAAATATAATTATATCTATGTAAGTTTTGCATTATAATATATCAAGTTTTCCGATTTCATTTAATCGAAAGATTCATCCAAATCTGAATTTTCTTCTCATTGTTTCTGAAGAATACAAAAAGTGTAGTCTTGGATTGGATAATAAGTTTATCATTTCGAATCTTATATCCTGTAACATAATATTGTCCGCATATGGAAAAATAGATAATACGAATCCTTACAAATATACATCTTCCAGAAGAATGGGGAAGTTCAGGTGAATATTTGTTAACAAAATTATATGTAAAAGTCGACAAATATTGAAATGTCTGTTTAAATAAATATATATATATATATATATATATATATATATATATAATATTATAAGCAAAATGTCCAAAAATAAGCTTGCAAATGCATTGGGACGATATACAAGCTTGCATGGATTATGGGTTGTGTTAGGTCGCACGTCTTTCACTGAAAATTATACAAACGTACGCTTTCCCCACATGCGTCTCTACCTACAGTTTCATTCATTTTATTTTATTTTATTTTAAAAAATAAAAACCATAAGTTTACATGTCCTTTCACAAAACGATTTTAAAAAGAAATGAGAAAACACCAGTCTTAATTATGCCCTAAATTTCGTAACAATCACAATATAATGTTTTTTTGGTAAAATATAATTATATCTATGTAAGTTTTGCATTATAATATATCAAGTTTTCCGATTTCATTTAATCGAAAGATTCATCCAAATCTGAATTTTCTTCTCATTGTTTCTGAAGAATACAAAAAGTGTAGTCTTGGATTGGATAATAAGTTTATCATTTCGAATCTTATATCCTGTAACATAATATTGTCCGCATATGGAAAAATAGATAATACGAATCCTTACAAATATACATCTTCCAGAAGAATGGGGAAGTTCAGGTGAATATTTGTTAACAAAATTATATGTAAAAGTCGACAAATATTTATGTCGATGTATTGCAAAGTAAAGGTCTAGCATCTAACCCTATATTCCTTTTCATAATCTGTGTTATGTTTTGCAAATCTCATATACTATATAACATGTGAATAATATATAGTTTCTGTATTATGTTCTTTTTGTTTGTTTGTCACGTTTTTTTTTGTATTAATGTGTGTATATATATATACATACATATTATATGCAATATAGTTAACAATAGTCGCCATGCAACGTGGTGTAGATCTTGCATCTCGTGCATAGTTGTTCGTTGCTTAGGGTTTTAGCAAAGCTCCGGAGACTAGAAGCCATAATAGATAAGATCATCAACACCATTAGGTTAATATTACACTTTTGCCCCTTCTCGTCTCTCGGAGCCCCATTCTTTTCGAGAACAAAACCACGTTTCCGTTATTTGGACGATATATATATATATTTGGTCCGCATAGTGATGTAAAACGGGCTGGCTCGGACCGGCTCGTCTTGCCTCAGCCCGTTCGGTCCGTTTTTTTACGAACTATAAAAACTCTGATCCAGACTAAATTATCCGAGGTCCGAACCGACTCGCGAGCCATCCCGTTTTTATCTAATTATTCGATTTTTTTTTTAAAAATTACATGAAAATTAATCATTTAAAGTCTACATAACAATATTTTGAAGTCATACAATATAACATAAAATATTTAATATAACAATCCATAAAACTATATCTAAATCAAGGAAAATTAACAAAACCAAACCAACATAAAAAAGTGTAATACACCAACAACATCAAAATATAACAAAATATATACACCAACATCAACATATCATGAATTTTAATTTGCTATATAAACAGAAGAAGTGAAGAAATTAAAGTATGAAACCATAATATTTTTTTAATGTCAGCTCGCGAGCCGGCCCGGATGGGCTCGGGCTCGTCGCGAGCAGGCTCGTTCGGCCCGTTTTTATTTGGTCTTTTATTTTTTCGGTCCAATTCGCGGCCCGCGACCCGACCGAGCTAGTCCGGATGGGCTCGGGCTCGTCGCGAGCTACTCGTTCGGCCCGTTTTTTATTTGGTCTTTTATTTTTTCAGCACAGCTCGATAAAAAAACGAGCCAGCCGCGAGCCAACTCGTGAACCTGACTCATTTTGACATCACTAGGTCTGCATGGTCCTCTTCTATTGTATACCTCGTTAAATTAGAAACGGTTTTTTTAGTTATGAATTGGTCGATCGATGTAGTGTGTGTATTCAAGAAAGAAATCAAAACCAGGTTACAAAATATTGTAAGATTACAAAATATTTTAACGAATTAATATAAATATCTAATCAAATCAATATATTACGCAATTTTGTCTATTTATTGGTTGTGTGAGGGGAAAAAAGGAAGAGAGATTGACAAGAGAACCGAAAAAATCTTCAAGATCTCTCAGCCTGTGTTTTTGTATAGTTGCTATTGTAACAGTCAATGACGTGAATGCTATTGGTTTGGTTTTATTTTGCTAAAGTGGGGTCCGATTCCTTCCTTATTTTATTTGCTTGCTTTCATATGTCCACAATGATAGGTCACATTCACATCATATTTTTTTTTAGATTTTTCTAAATTATTGACGTGGCATTAACAATGAGAAAGGAGGAGAAGATGAGTAAGTACGTACAGTTAGCTACAGAAGAAGAATAGGGATATTTTGCTTGACGAGCTTACGGCGGCGCACATTAGATCGAAGATACACGACAAGGCTATACGACGCCGATTATTACATTTGGGCCTGCTTTTTTAGTTTTTAGGCCCATATTCATTAGAAGCACATTATATATTTTCAGGCCGATAAAGTCCACCGTCCATAACCTCATGTTGTTTTTTAATTTTGTCTTAAAGAATTTTTAAAAAAAAAATAACCAAAAGGAAAGTGGAGATGCGGGGTATCGATCCCCGTACCTCTCGCATGCTAAGCGAGCGCTCTACCATCTGAGCTACATCCCCTTTATTCTTTAGAAGTGTGGAAACTAAAGAAATAAATACAAATTTTTTTAGCAATAATAGAATATAATCAAATTTTGATTAATTAAAGTACAATGATTGAAAATTTTCAGAATAAATACAGTTAAAACATAATGTATGGACATTTCTTAATTATTCTTCATCTAATATTTTTGTTCTTTTCATAACCCATTCTATATTAGTTTTATTACTATATATGTATAACATTGACTTGGTAGAATGGTGACGAGCACACAAGTCACCACTTCCCACCATGATGGATTCAAAAATAAAACACACATGCACGTACATTCATCCCCTCATCCGTAATTTTTAAAATAGATTAAAAAAGGGTTTTCAATAACAAGTGCGTTATCAAATATAATCGATTGACTTATAAATTTAATATAATTTAAATCTAACTAATCATATATATATATATATCTGTATCTGATTAAATGACTTTAGACTTGTATTGAAATTCAGAACATTTCCACATCAAACACCAAGTTAAGTTAAAGTAAAAGGATGAAGAACAGGAACCAATTTGGGTTTACGATGGAAAATGGGCATAAAAAGAAGCCCATGGGCCTAGTTATGTAATTTGCTAATATTGTAATTTTGAATTTATATTTAAATATACACATTTGGTATTATATAAATAAATAAAGAGGCGGTCTTCACGGCTTTATTTATTAAAAACAAAAATATAATTACGGGCCCAAATGGATAGATAGGCGCAGGAGAGGAGACCAGAGGAAACCACCTTCAGTTCACAAACCGCTCGGCGACAAAGCCGAAGAACACGAGGAGGAGGAGAACCAGAAGTGGCGGCTTCCTGAGCTTCGAATTGCGCGGAACCAGGTAAGTTGCTATTCATCTTCCCAATCTCAGATTTCTCCGAGCGAATGTTCCCTCTCTGTCTCTGAGCTTCGCTGGTTCGTCAATTTCGATTGGTGGTTGATTCAGACATTCTCCGAGTTTTCTCAGCGGAAATGGACTCGACCGATTCGTACGCCGCGGCTTCTCCTGAGGAGGTGACGAAGAGATCCCAGGAAGAGCATAACCCTTTGGAAACAGGTATTTCCCGATCCGATCTGTTCTTCGTCACGTCGAGGTGAGCGAGGAGATTGCATTTTCCTGGCTCAGATGTTTGGCATCTTGTTTCGATGTATTTGTTCGTTGGGAAAAATTTGACCTCTTCGTGAATCAATTTCCATGAAATTTTCTACGACTTGAGATCGTAGCTGGGTGATTGTTCTGTTTGAGAAGAGTGCGGGAGAATTCTAGATGATTAAGTAGAGAAACAATATCGAATATTACAAAAAGTGAGATCCGACAGATTTGTGTTTTGTTTTGCGGATTTTGCGAGGTGCTTTAATTACAATCTATCTTGGGTTTTGTGCAAGATCAGGATCTTGATCACCAATCTAAAATTTCCAAATTTGGTTAAATTCTATAATTTCGACAATTCAAGGAAGGAATTGAATTCACTTTTAGGAATGATTTTGAGAATGAGCGAATTAGGGCAGGAAGATCTGTTTATGAAAAATGAAAAATTTACATCTCACTTTTCGCGGTGGGTTTTTGTATCATTTGTGGTAGTTGATATGATTGAAATTTGTATGATGCAAAAAGCTTTTTGTCTCCTTAGCGCAATACTGCATCCTCCTCTATACATCTTGTTGGAACATAAAGTGGAGTTGTTTCAGAATCTTTATTACGATTATTCTTTCAGTTCATGTTTCGATTCTGTTGTCTTGTGTATCAGTGACTGTGTTTTTATTGATAGGGAGATGTGTTTCTCAAGAGTGCCTAACATATTTATCCATTTCACAGAGCCTGCAGAGAAGCCGACACACCTTCGTTTCCTTGTATCCAATGCAGCAGCTGGTTCTGTCATCGGGAAAGGTGGCTCGACAATCACTGATTTCCAGGCTAAGTCGGGGGCTCGAATCCAGCTCTCACGCAATCAAGAGTTTTTCCCTGGAACTACCGACAGGATTATTTTGATATCCGGAACAATTAAAGAAGTTATCAATGCTCTGGAACTTATTCTCGATAAACTGAACAGTGAGGTAATCTTCTTTGTGAGTTGGATTTTCATGCATGTACTTGGTTTTATCATATTCTCGGTTTTGATTTTCTTTTTTCGGTTAGTTTCATGCTGAAGATGGTAGTGATGCTGAGCCTAGGAGAAGGATAAGACTCGTGGTTCCGAACAGCTCATGTGGAAGCATCATTGGAAAAGGAGGGGCCACCATCAAGTAAGTTTCTCCTCCATTTTCGTCACAGCTGGTTCCATGGTTACAGGATTCTGAGTAGCTTCCTTAATCTTTTTTTCTTCAAATCATTTCCTATAGGTATAGGTTATTGAATCTCCAATTAATATCTAGAATTTGTTTAATCATGTTTCATATACAGAGCAACCATGGAGTTCCCTTCCTTGAAGTTCATATCTTGTTCTGATAGCAAATTATTTTCTATCAAATGATAGATTTTTTTGGGTATTAGAGGTCACTTCAGTTTATGGTTAAATCAATGGATATTTGTCTTAAATGCTGGAATATGACATTGGGTCTTCTAAGTGTTCCTTGGAATGTTGTCTTAATACCTTTTCTTGTCTTGGCGGTAGGTCCTTTATTGAAGACTCCAAAGCTATTATTAAGATATCTCCTCTGGACAATACTTACTACGGGTTGAGTGATAGGCTTGTGGCACTATCCGGAACTCTGGAGGAACAGTTGCGGGCAGTTGATATGATTTTGTCTAAACTTACTGAAGATGCACATTACTCTCAGAATGTGCATACCCCTTATTCATATGCAGGTATATCTACTTAGCTTAACTTATTTGCAGATTACGTGTTTCTCCGTGTAGTTCCTTTGATGTGCTGTCATGTTCTTTATCTCTTTGATAGTCTATTTAAGTACAAAGTTAATTCATTGGATAGCGGTTATGCATTTCGAGAAAGAAATGTAGGAAACATTTATGCTTCTGTAAGGTATTGCATATTTCTAGGTGGAACGTGTAAGGAGCGATACTGAATACCCGAAAAACATAAATCACAGTTCCGTAAGAAAAGACAAGGCTCTAATTTATTTTAGCTTAATCACCACCCGTGTTTTTGTGTATCTTATCTTTTGGGTGAAGAAAAGATGAAAGTAGACAAGTTGGAATGAGAATTCAAGCGAAATACTGAAAGAGCAAATTTTTAATTTGAGGTAAAAGTTATTTAAGGGGCTAAATACCGACATCCTAGACTTTGGACCATATCCTTAACTAGTTTAAGATTCAAGGAATGATACTTTTTAGTGAGTTTGGATTCGATTGTTCTCTAAGACATTAATGGCATTTCTGTTCTTTGTTACCTGTAGGTTTTCTGATCATTTTGGTTGTATAATGGTGTTTGTTGCTAAGATTAATTCTTTGTAAGGTCCCATTAACTCAAAATTTTAGGTCTTTTCTACTCTGGTTTTCATGGCCATCCATACGGGTATGTGCTTCCTTCTGTTGCTACAGCGGGATACAACTCGATTAATTATGCGCCCAACGGTACTGGAGGCAAATTTCAAAATCACAAGGTATCATCACTCTTCTTACAATCTCTGTTTCCTGCATGATATTTATAATAATGTCGCCTTTTTTTTTTTGCAAAAGCTATCCCCATTCATTGCTAGGAACATTACGAGAAGGCTCTTGCAACATCTTATGTCCGAAACATCTTAGGCAAGCGGTTTTTTTTTTCTGTATTGTGTAGGAAGATGCTAGCAACTCGGTGACAATAGGTGTTTCGGATGAGCATATAGGCTTGGTCCTTGGTCGTGGAGGAAGGAATATCATGGAAATCACTCAGGTTCGTTCAAGAATGTCCAGCCATTAAAACTTTTTCAATCCTGTTTTTTGCTCGCAAATCGCAATGCTCAACCCGAGAAATCCTTGTTAATAATGCAGATGAGTGGTGCCAGGATAAAAATATCAGATAGAGGCGATTTCATTTCTGGAACAACTGAAAGGTGAAATCTTTGGCATAACAATTCACAAAGAACAACTGAAAGGTGAAATCTTTGGCATAACAATTCACAAAAAAAAAAAAAAAAAAAAAAAAAATTGAAGCATGAGAGCAAAGGGTTTATGATGTGGGTATCGGTTTTCTGGACAGGAAAGTGACGATCACAGGCTCACAGAGAGCTATTCATCAAGCCGAGTCCATGATCAAACAGAAAGTTGCTTCGGCCTCCGAGAGGGCGGAGGTCTCCTCCGATTAATCGGTTTATATGTCCATCCTACTCGTTCTTTCTCACGAGGAATTCGTTTGATTGGCATTCCTTACAGATCGGGAAAATCTTTGATGAGGCAGAGAGCTAAAGCTTTTCTTAGGAACCGTGGTTCTTTATTTTTAGTTATGTTCTGCTTCTGGTTGCCTTTTCTTCTTCACTGCTGACTGTATAAGGTATGTTGTGTTCTGTCCTTTGTCCTGTCGTCGTAGAGAGAGAAGGCATTGTTGTGGGAGCAGTTATTTTATTTTTTAATAATTACTGCATATCTATTCCAAGTTTTGGTATTTTTGTTGTAACATTTGAAGTAGACTCAGTTACGATTTGTCCTTATGAACGTTCATGTTTAAAATATTCCAATGTCACCACGAGTATATTTCTAGAAGCTAGAAATAAGAGGTCTCGGTTACAACGATAATGATGAAAGAAGGGGCGAGAGAGAAGGAAGAAGGGCATGAAGAGAGCAGCAAGCAGGCTGCAAGTAGAGGCCTATATTATTTGGTACAAAACACCCAAAAAAAGAAGCCTCAAGAGACCATTCTGGGAAAGACATCCGAAAGAAAAGCTCATCGGTCATCACCTGGCGGAGACAATGGTTCCTACTTTGAAGCTAACTGATAATATTAGGACCCAGAAGCACACCAAGATCAACATTGCCCTTGATAATGTAGCCCCTGTCTTGCCCGACAAACCCGTATCTGCTCCTTGCACCAACCCCAGCGAGAAGACGACATTGAGGTTTCCGTTCTTGCCGTATGACCAGTCCATGCCGCTGCCTTCAGCTACAGTCATGCTTGATATTCTTATCATACCTGCTGTCACATGAACCGATCCAGAAGATTGTGCGGCTGAGTGTAGACGGATAGCAGCATCCTTTGTCGGGAACTCTGAAGCGAATGCGGGCGGAGCAGGAATTCCGCCCAGCATGTGGCTAGCTTTCTTGAGGAACGGGTACTTGGAATCTGTGTGGAATTCACATCTCAAATCAGTCACAAGGGGTAAGCCTGCTTACGCTAATGCAGTTTGAGTGTGGTATCGGACACGAGAACAGATTCCGTTACCTGACTCGAACGGTGTGGCATCTGGATCATGTTTTGAACAAGATGCTTCATCCTTGTCCTTACCTTCCACCAAGTGTTCGCATGTCGTCGTCTCTTTCTCCAATCCCTCGCGTTCAGCCTGCTTGGTGTAAAGGTGAATCCAAGATAAACCCGAGTTAGCCTTTACACTAAACGAAGAACAAGATGAATGTATTGTCTTTACCTTTTCGGTGAGGTCCTCCAGGCGAGGAACAGAATCTTCAGTCCCGACCAACTGAGAAGCATCAAAACTCAATTGTGCAGTAATCTCATCATCGATATCGAAGAAGGTAAGATAATCTTCAAAGTTTAAACTATCTTGATGAGTCGTAGTTCCGAGATCATTGGTTTCCAGGTACATCCCATCATTCGATGGAAGATCGTGGTCAGCATCCACGAATGGCTGTCCGAGCAAAAACTGATCATCAGGAACACTGACGTAATTACCCTCGGCTGCAAATATATCGTTCGAGGTTAGTGAGTTTTCTGCATTTTCTTCTTGGACATCACATCCAGTTAGTTCATCAGGCAACATCGAGACAGGCTGAATGCCATCGGTACGAATTATAGGCTTCTGATCTTCATCAGGGGAGTCTTTCACATAGTTTCCTGGCTGGATGTAATTTCCAGTATCAGAGTAGTTGCCCGATTCAATGTTGTTGCTCGATTCCCCGGGATAAAAGTTTGATGCCAGAGGAATGGCATCATAAATCTCAACGTTATCGGGCTTCTGCAAAAATAGAAATAACATTCAAAAGCTCACCTATTTGACCACGAAAATCGACAGTATATATTTTTTCATCTTAAGAGAACAAAAGAAAAACAAGGCAGGGGTGGCCAATTTGGTTGATAATAGAACAACTAAACCGAACAGAAAAGAATAAACATAACCGTAACCAAAGTGAATCCGATATAAAAATCGAATGACTATGATTGCTCTAAAACTGAAAACCCATATCCAAACTGAATGAACTGAATCAAAGAATAACCAAAAAAACTAAAAATGTCTTTTTATAAAAATGAGTATTTTTAATAAATAAAGACAAACATTCGTCACGAACCGAAATAGTACCAAATTAAAACGAATTCGATATAAAAATTGAATGGTTATAGTTTTTATAAAACCGAAACAATCGAATATGAATATAACCGAACCGAAACCCGAAATGGCCACCAAGGCACATGTTTTTCCTTTGAACTTCCACTATCAACACAATGAAGTAAAGGAATACCTAACACACTCCTAATTCTACATCCAATATGCCAAACCTGTTTATCATCACAATGCATAAACCCAAATGCATTTTTAAGCCCTAAATCCTTTGCGATATTATCACAATTACCTGATCAAGTTCATCAATGTCGACGTAAAAATCATCATCGTTATCGAAAGCCAATCCCTCGGGCAATGCATCTTGATCAGGAACAAGCATCATCATCATCTCATCACCACCATCCTCCCATTCCTCCTCAATAAATGGAGCTCCATACTGTTCACCATTCTTAGGACCTGATCCACTTTTCTGAAATATCCTACACAACACATACGCATCCTTTTTTCCCCACCACCACAACAAAGAACACATCCCCCAATTGAAAAATCAACAAACCAAATCAACTTGAATCGAAAAAAAAAAATAACAACAAAGGATTGAGCTGAGAAATTCGGAATTCGAAATTGAGGATCTTACTTGAGCAACGCCTGTTTTCCCGAGCTCCTCGTCGATAAGACGATACTCGTGCATGACCCAGTTGGTTCTCTCCCCACGAGGAGCTCGGCCCCTGTGGTAAACAAGCGTCTTCTTCATCCCCACGATCCTTGACCCATTGCGAATCTCTCGATCCTTCCCCGTCGTTTTCCAGTACCCTTTCTCTGTTGCCCGATTCGTCTTCGAACCGTTTCCGTACTTCTTATCCAGCACACTGAAGAAGTACCACTCCAAGTCCCTGCTCTTCAGCTTCGACTTGTCTATTCCACAAAAAAAATAATACCATTTCAAGTTGAATTCCGAAAGCAGATGCCATCCCTATTCACAAAAATCTAGACAATTCGATCTATCGACCAAGAGACAGAGAAAGATTACAAAGTATGACCTGGGAGATCCCACGGCTCGGATTTGTAAATGTCGATGACGGAGATAGCGTCGAACCTAAAGGGCTTGTTGCAGATCTTGCGCTTCAGGTAGTATCGAACGAGTTCTTCGTCCGTCGGGTGGAATCGGAACCCAGGAGCCAGGGAAGTCACTGAGTCGCGACCCATCAATCGGTCGACCAAAATCGCGATTCCAGAGTAAATCAAGCAACTGTTTTTTGTGGTTAATTCAACAGAAAAAAAGGAGGATTCACAAGAGAAAAGAAAACCAATATCCGACAATTAGGGTTTTAGAAATTTGGGAGAAGAGAAGACGAAGAAGACGAAGAAGCCATTCGCAAACATTTCGGTCTTGAGGAAAACAAGGGGAAAGTTGGGGCTTTAATATATCTTCCAGGTAGGTGCAAAACGAGAGATTTTACATTGACAGCGCGGTGACGATTTGGTCAGTGACAACTTTTTTTTTCTTTGGCTTTTTCATTTTTGACGCATTTTTATGGGGGTTTTTTATTTGTAGTAATATTTATCTCAAATTCAAATAAAAAACTAAGTTTACCAAAAAAAATAAAAATAAAAATACCAAATACTGCATTTTTTAAGAAGGATATAAGAGAGTGAAAATAAAAAAAAAATCATTTTTAGCAAAAAAATAAAATACGATTTATCCACCAAGTATTGTGAATAGTAAAAGCTACCACAAGATATATTATATAGTTTATATTCCCTTATACCTTTATTAAAAAGAATAGCAATTACGTGAAACAAAAGTTTCCTCGTGTCGGTGACGTAACCACATTCGTAACCCTGTAAACACTAATCAAACCCAGATCAAATGACGGATATGCCCTCCACTTCGACCAGAATTACCAAAAGAAAACACCAACATCTGCAAAGATCCTTCAGAAGAAGATCTTCCTAATGGAGACTGTAACTACTCAAAACGGCAAGTGAACAGAAGGAAAGATTTCTGAGTTCTGGTCTGAACAAACTACATAGAATATATGACAATAAGACCAACTTGCAAATGTTTCCCTGAAACACCATGGAGAATCAAAGACACAGACAGCCTCTGTCCTTCTTATCCTACTACTTATACAACAGAGATTCACTTCCCATCTCAGATCCGTTCCAACCCATAAAACAAAGAGGGCAGTTCACTAACTCATAGGGATTACGGCCCGGAAGCTCTTCCGGGACATAACTTAGGGAGATTACAGCGACGGGTAAGAAACAGAAGGGGGGAACCTGATAACTTGCGGGTCTTTAAGAGCATTGCCCCTTGATGTTCTTCCTAAGCTCCTCATTCTCCTGACGCAGAGCATCGATCCTTGACTGAAGAATGCTGATCATTGCCTCAGCACTCATCATTTCCAGCTTGAACGTCTCTCTCTCTACCGACATCTGGTGAATCTCCTTCTGCAGATCGTTGATCAGCTTGGTGCAGTTCGCCGGCATCAAAATAGCTCCCTGCTCGTCTTTGTTGTTGTTGTCGGGTTTGTTTGATGGAGGAGTCAGAGGAGAAGGTACCTTCTGAGGTGGCAATGGCAATGGTGGTGGGGTCTCTTTCTTATCAGTGGTTCCCATTAGGGAGAATTCAAGCAGAGCAGAGATGGCAGTGTTGGTGGCAGCAGATGATGTCAAGGTATTGTCGAAAGTCGTTGTGGATGAGCAATGGTCTTGGGTGGTTCGGCTTGAGTTGTGGGAGTTGCCCATTGAGTCGTTTTGGCGTCTCCGTTTGTATTGGAGGAGGGGTAAGGGCGCTTCTTTGTTCAGGACACAAAGGGGAGGACAGTCTTCTTGCGGGCGATCATGCTTTAGCGAGTTGTCTTTCTCTTGCAGCTTGGGAGTATCATCATGATGATGTTGCTGTCGGTTAGGAACAACTCTCGTGTGTTCATTATCGATCTGAGTCTCTCTCGGGAGCTCGTTGATGTTGATGAGATCCTTGCTCATGGACTGAATCTCCTGCACCAATTACAACCATTGTAAACAATATCAAAGACCAGAGAACAGGATAGCGAAGTGAAATCATTGAAACAATCATTAGCAGCGGATTTAACACATATAGCAATGATTTTCATCACACAATTTGTAGCAGTTGCAAATATCATCGGTATAAGCTAGTCCAGATTTAAATTCACCATAGGTCCGACCCACGGGAACAGTGTTAGAGAAGCACAAACCTGCTCATCCTCATTAGTGCCGGCAACTGGAACTGGCTCCCCCGTGATCCTCACATCTTCTCCCAGGATCAGAGCCATTCCTCCATCATTCCACTCTTCTTCCAAGAACGGTGCATAACGATTTCCACTTGGTGGCCCGATGTTGTTCTTGTGAAATACTCTGCACAACACATAAGCATCTTGCTGCACCCGAGAACACAAGCGATAGAAGAGTGAATTCACAGATCAAAACATAAGCGAGAAGAAGAATCTGAAATGCAGTTATATCACACAGGAAACAGATAAAGGGCAAACAACTATGCTTTTTTCCAGACTATTGATTTTGCATTTCAAGCATAAGCCACAAATTTACCAATGCCCCATCCACTGGAACACATTTGTCATATCTATACATGCAGATTCTTTTTCAAGTATGAAATTAGAGTCAGTGTCAAAACCGGAAACATCCACAAGAACTTTTGAACCACACATATTTCCATTTCTAGTGCAGATGGTTCAAGAACTTGAATAAACTAACAATGGATGAAGGAACAGAGACAAGATTGCATGCATCATGATCATCTAAGCGACACAACAATCAAACGCCCAAAAGATGCTTTCATCCCACAAGAACACACATTTCAAAACACATCACCAAGTAACAAAAAAAAAGGGATCTTTAACTAGAATGTACCTGCATGCTTCCGATCTTTTCCACTTCATATTCAACGAGGCGATACTCGTGCATGACCCAATTGGTCCTCAGCCCATCGGGGGCACGCCCACTGTGAAACACAAGGGTCTTCTTCATCCCAATCAGCTGGTTATCACGACGAATTTCCCTGTCTTTTCCAGTAGCTTTCCAGTAACCTTTGTTCGTTGCCCGGTTCATTCTAGCACCGTTTCCATACTTCTTATCCAACGCACTGAAGAAGTACCATTCCTGATCTCTTGTCTTTAACTTCGAGTACACTGAAACACAAAAGAAGACCATCGGTAATGTACAACACTAACTCCAGGCCTAAAAACTATACCTCACACCACAACAAAAATCCCCTTTCCTGAAACACAAGAAATCTCTAAAAAAATCCCAGAGAATTTGGAAAGGCTCGTATCTGAAGCACGAAAAAAGCCCGATTAGATGTGAATGTTTATCATGATACCCGAAGATAGCAGAAGTACCCCTTAACTACACCGCGACAGAAATTTCAGAGTGAAAAATCAGAACCCAGTAAGCAAAATCCCTCGCCAGAGATGAACACCGTAAGAATCACACCCGAGAACACTAAAAACTCGAAACCCAAAGCAAAATCGAAACATAACCCACGAAATCCCAAATCAGAGCCTTTCAGTGAAACCCGAAATCTCACGCGCAATCCACAGCCCAGAAAACAGCGGACGAATTCAAGAAGCAAAACCCAAAGAGAACGGCGAACCTGCTAACTCCCAGGGCTCGTGCTTGTAGATATCGACCTCCCCAATCGCATTGAACCGCACGGGTTTATTCTGAACCTTCCTCTTCAAGTAATAACTGACGAGTTCCTCGTCCGTCGGATGAAATCGGACATGATACCCGAAGATAGCAGAAGTACCCCTTAACTACACCGCGACAGAAATTTCAGAGTGAAAAATCAGAACCCAGTAAGCAAAATCCCTCGCCAGAGATGAACACCGTAAGAATCACACCCGAGAACACTAAAAACTCGAAACCCAAAGCAAAATCGAAACATAACCCACGAAATCCCAAATCAGAGCCTTTCAGTGAAACCCGAAATCTCACGCGCAATCCACAGCCCAGAAAACAGCGGACGAATTCAAGAAGCAAAACCCAAAGAGAACGGCGAACCTGCTAACTCCCAGGGCTCGTGCTTGTAGATATCGACCTCCCCAATCGCATTGAACCGCACGGGTTTATTCTGAACCTTCCTCTTCAAGTAATAACTGACGAGTTCCTCGTCCGTCGGATGAAATCGGAAGCCGGGAGCCAAAGCCGTCGCCGACGCGGCGGAGCCCGGCGTAGTCGGCGGCGGCGAAGACACAAGAGCAGCAGATTCACGACCCATAGATTTCCTTACAGGTGCTAGGGCTGAGATTACTCAGAAAACGCTTGCTTGCGACGAAAACGAACAATACCCAGAAAAAGTTGGCAGATGGGTGTTGGATTGAGGGAGAAGAAACAGAGAGAGAAGCCCGAAAAAAAAAAAACCAAAGGTACCTTCGATTGCAAGAAATTTGTTTGTTTCGCGGACCTAGAAAAAGTGTCTTCACATTTGGCTTCCATTTCTCCTTTCTTCATTATTCCCTTTTCTCTTTTACTTGATGGTGCACCGTAAAACCCTAGATTATTTCACAGCGCCGTTTTTTGTCGTTTTGTGAGTGAAATCAGTGTCACAGCCCTCAGCCAGAACGCAGTAAAAAAGTTATTAATTACTGTGATGTTATTTTTATTTAAGTGATTTTGATTTCTAAAAAAAGGTAAAATTAATTTAAAAAATTCTTGGTTATTATAAGATATGAAGATATGTTTTAAGAAAGTGAACTTATCAGAAAACGATATTTCCAAAAAATAATAAAATAACTCTAATTTCTTTTTTTTTCCACCCTAAAAAGGTTATTTAATGTCAGATAAGCACGCACGAGGTTTCATTTTCGGTATTTGACCGTTGCCTTCGCTTTTCATTGATGGGATTGAATTCTTTTTTACTTTTTTACTATATATTTATCCTAGTATTTTCGTATGAATAAAATAGTTTTCTTTAAAAGAAATGTGTATATACATATGGATGATATTACGGAACAAAGATAAATATGGTTGGGATTATATTGTTTTTTTTTATATATTTATCTGGTAGAAAAATCATTGTAAAATTAATTGATTTTCTAGTAATATTGAAATGGGAAATAGAGAACATATCTAATCATATATATATATATATATATGTATATATGTATGTGCTTGCAGAAGTATGGATGCTTTAGCTGTAAGGCAAGTAAAAGGAGAAACCTTGGTCCACACGTATCATCATCTTCCCCGTTTTCTAATTAAATTACCCCCTTTATTCTTTTTTTCTTATCCTTATATCTTCATCTCAATTTTTTTTCTCCTTTATTAATATGCTTCTCGTAAATATAAATTATAAAATCACATAAAAAAAAGTATATAAATTATTTAACCTGTACATGCATTTTAAAAGTGGCACATTGGATTTTGTTTGTGACTTCCGGAGATAAATAGAAAAAGAGCGGAAATCCATGTCCAAATCACATATGCTATGACATAATTTAATTGGACGTGTGATTTTGATATGAATTTAACTAAATATCTGTTATTTGATTAATGTTGCAATTTTCGCCGTGTATATAATATGCATATATATAAAAAATAATTACTTGTATGGTTAAAAAAAAAAAGGGAAAGAAATTCGTAAAAAAATTTACTTTTTTCTAGAAAACTCCGGATAATGCCTTGTTTGTAATTTAATTTTCGCTGCGGTTACGCTCTGACAACGCTGAGTGAAAACGACAAGAACCTTAAAAATATCAAAGGCAGGCATCCCGAGACATTGTATTGGGCCAACTGTTAGATTTAGGCCCAAATATAATCGAGCTTCTGATAACAAAATATACTTAATTGGGCTTTAATTGGGCTTTTTTAGATTAATCGTATGCAATCAAATCTCTCTCTCAATTATTTTTTTCTCCGTAAAATGATCTAAATTAAACCTGTTTTTGTGTCCATTCCTCGCAAGTTCCAATGGAAGATTCCTGTTTTTTTTTGTCCGAATGTTTATGTTTGGCCTTTCTTCAGCCGCAAGAAAGGAAAAAAATTGAGGATTTGAACGGGATGACTTTTATTTTTGGTTTTGGGTTTTTGTATTCTATAATATTTATAAACCCAAAAATGTAGTTTTTGGTTTGTCATTGATTTTTTCATCAAAATGGATTTCCAAATTTTTTTTAAAAAAAAGATAATTTTATAAAAACTTGAATGATTTTGGTTCTTAGATTTTAAAATTTTTAAAAACTCCAACCATTCAAAAGAGCTTATTGCAAAACGTACACATCCATCGTATTAGATGATTAGATCACTTGTATTCTTCATCTTGATCGCTTATATTAGCCGTCGAATATGTGGTTTGGTCGAGTTTTTTTTTTTAAATGTTAGAGGGTTACTTTCGATTTGTCCTTTTGTTGCTAATTCTTGGTATTTGTACTTAAAATACCATGTTCGGCATTAATACATATACGAAAATATGATAAATTTTCAAAAGTGTACGTTTTATGTGGATTTCGAGACACCTCCGTTTGATATTTTAAAAAAAAATCATGCATTTTGTAAGATTTTTTTTATATATAATTTATGAATTTTATAGAGATTCTTAACGACGATCGAAATATACAGATGTAACAGTTGGACCAAAAAAAAATGAATACTTATATTTAATATCATATAGTATTCTTGCTTGTGGAAAAGAAATGAAAAAAAAAACAAAAACAAGAATCTTGCAAAGTAGTGCAAGCAAGGAATCGTGTCGACAAAAGAATGCGATTGATACAGAACCAATCGAAATCAGATCTATCCATGTAATGTGTCAAATAACCGAATCTGAATTGGGTAAATTGATATTTGATTAATTTTTTTTTTTAAATTATTTTAAAAATGTATCCTTTCTGATCATCCTTTATCATCAGTAATGGCAATCCACCAATGTAGGAGCAGACAAAACAAGAGACTTTTGTTCCTCTCTTTGCTGCTGTTGTTGTTGTTGTTGGTGTTCTTGCTTGGAAGCAAAGCCTAAACCGTTGACCCGATTCTCGTCTTCCGGTGCCGGCAGATTCAGATCCAAATCCAACGACACGACGGCGGTGGTTCTTGCCTTCTTGGCCGGATAATCTTGACCGTCCGACATCGGAGACAGCGACAGGGCCGTGCTGGCAGCGGCCACGACCGCTCCTCTGTGCCTTCTCATGTGTCCGCCCAAGGCTTGCCCGGACGTGAACTCAGCACCACATATCCCACATTCATGAACCTTGTTGCCGCTGTTGTTGACGTTGTTACTACTGCTGCTCACCTTCGTAGTTCCGTACATCGCACCTCCCCTTTGATTGTTGCTGTTGCCGTTGTTTTTGTTGTTAGAAGTTGTTGTAGCGTTGTTCAGACGGAGCGAAACGGTGTCGTTGTGGAGTGATTTCTTGAGGTCGAGGTCCGGGTGGTGGTGAAGGGCCTTAGGCTTCTTGTGGCTTGCCCTGTGGCCGCCGAGCGCTTGGAATGACGGGAAGGTCCGGTCACATGTCTTGCACTGGTAAACATAGTAACCGGCCTTTCCACCGCCGTTGTTACCGTTGGATACGGAAGTTTCTAGGAACTTCCTACTGCTAAATCTAAAACCGTTGTTGCTGTTGTTGTTGTTACTTGTTTCGTGGTAACGCACTAGCTGTCGTTGTTGTCGTTGTTGTTGTTGGAGATTGGAAAGGGAATGGCCTTGGGCAAGTAAGATCAAGCAACGCGCCATGGCTTGATCCTCTTCATCCTCGGCATTTACCGCAGAGTTGTCGTTGCTGTTG